ATGCAAAAAAAAAAAAAAAGAAGAAGAAGAGAGATAGGAGGGACATACTTCCATGGTGCCAAAGACAAAGCATACCTATTTAAGGCCAAATTAGTATTTCAGAATACCAGCCCCCGCATGTGAACCAAAGGCTGCATCACATGGCTCATTACCTCTCCCGAGTCTGGCAAGACACAACTCAAACAACAACCACATGGCTATAGCACAGAAAAAAGGCCAGCACTGCAGTGAAACAAGGTGAGCATTACCCTAGGAAGCCATTTCCAAACTAGGTCTTCAGCTAACTAGCTATGTGACGATAGAAACATGACGGTAAAATAGACATTTTATTGAGCACATACAGCCAATATACTGAACTACAGGAAGCACAGAACCCTATAAGACAAGTCCTTATCCTTACCAGTCTAGAGGAAGTTTGGGGGCAAGATCTCCTCAGAGGTGCCTTCTCTCACATCTAATGAATTCTGTGCACCATGTCCATAGTAAAAAGCCAATCACCATATTTTTAAGAGACTCAAGGTACTTTGGAGGGCTCCTTATCCTCATACCAAAGTATGGAATCCCGTAGGGCTGTAATCATCCAATTAGTGGGCTTGTCCAGTTTGATATCACACCTGACCTCAGGAATTCCTCTTAATGCTCAGTAACTGTGCAGAGAAGAGTTTCCAGACTTAGAGTTCAGCTGGAGCCCTTTATTAAATACTGTCATAATGTACTCGTGGGTTGCATATAGTCTAATAATACACCAATGCTGAGCGTTTCGTGTTAATCACTTCCTCTTGAGGATTTCTGGGAAACTTTCCTTTGATGAGAAAATTCCATTTCACGATGATAGAAAATTCCTTGACCTCTCTGTGTTCCTAGCCGACTTGATCAGTTGATTATTACATAATGGACACTCATTCTACAGCACATATGCTTTATGCCTCAAGTCAATGCATCTCTGTCCTGAACATCATTGATCTGCTATGTACCTAAGGCCCCGCCCCTGGATATTCAGTACAAGTCTCCTCTCCTAAAGATGCGTGCAAATAGCAGTGATAACGGGGCAGTTCTTTATGTTTGTCCTTTCGCAGGAAATTGTCCTCAGCTTGTGAATCAAAAATAACATTTTATTGTCTTTCTTCTCCTACCCACTTACTCACCATCATCCCGTTTCTTCTCAAACAACAACAGTCTTTCTATCTGGTCTTGTTAACCCTTGGCTTAAAAAAGCAAATTTCCCTACATGATTGATGTTTTTAGTGTAAATCTGGAGCTTTGTCTGACAGGGATAAATAAGACAAATTGTAAGTGCTTTGGTTTTCACAGCAGGGAGTCCTATCATGCCATCAGCTTTCTTGTCCCCAAATGTGTGAGCTGCCTGAAAGACCAGGGTAATTGAAAGGCATGCATATACCTCTGGTTTCTCAGATATTAACGGAAATTGCCTCCTACTGCGGTTGCTTTCTGGCTCGGTGTTCTGAAAGAGAAACAGGTCATTCCATTTCAAGCACAAGTACTGAATACACGTTAGTCCATCAAGAAGGAAAAATCTCTGTGCACTGGTAGGTAGCAGGACAAATGTGACTGCTCGGTTCTGCTAATCCTGTACTAAAAATGACTTTCTCTCTCTCTTTTTCATTTCTTTTCTCTTGTCTTGTCCCTCCTTTGCCTCTCTCTCCGACCTCAGAAAAAGAGTAGATAGAGTAGGTACACCTGAACACTTACTTCATTTCCTACCCAAATTATGTAGCATCTTAGTTTAACTTCAAGTTCATGATGACCTCCTCCACCAGCTATTAGAAATAATCCAAATGCCTATGGTGGGTTAGCAAGTCAGTGAGTGTGTGGGTGTAAGAAATTTTGGTATCCATAGAAAGAAAATGTAGAACGGATGATAAGCTATGGGGTTCAAGAATATTCATTAATACACATACTTACCTTAAGCAAAAGGTAAAGGCACAAAAAAACCTGTTTTCGGGATGCTGGGTACACCACCTGCCCAGCACCTGTAGCACTGAGTGACTGCTTAACAACAGAATGGGTTCACAATTCTCATATGAAGCTGAGATTAGCCATGACATTTCCAGCTGAGCGGGGGAGCCCTTGATCATATTAACCGGTTAGCTGGCTAGTTACCAGGTAACTCAGAGTTCCAGGGGTCATTTGTCAGATATTTCCACTTGCCACTCCACACCCCCACCATACCTCACCTAAACATAAGAACCTTCCCTCTGTTTCAAGGGATTACAAGCGTCCCAGATTGTTGGTGGAAGGGAGGGAGAGCAGTATGGATGGGGTTCACTAAATCTCACGGCATTGATAAACAGCACTTCCGTTGGTCAGTTATTAGGAAATGTGTGGAGTGTCATAAGAAGACACTCTCCATTTCGTCTTATTTTATTTTTCCCTCCCTTCCCCTGTGATGCTCTGTTTTGTTTCTTAAATTCCACATATGAGTGAAATCATATGATAATAAGGAGGGCACGTGATATAATGAGTACTGAGTGTTATATGCAACTGGTGAAGCACTGAACTCTACCTCTAAAACTAATAATACACTATCTGTTAATTAATTGAATTAAATAAAATAATTTTTTTTTAAAAAAGACACTCTCCAGTGTGATTAGAAGATCTTCTAAAGCAGCTTCTCTGCCCAGGTGACTTGCAGTGTCCCTTTAAATTTTAAGTGATGACTTGTGGGATGTGGCTTGGCTCCCACAAAGCTCCCTGAAGCTAGGGATGGTTAATGCACCTGCCAATTCCCTCCTCCTCCTCTGTCCCCCACTAGGTCCAGACACCTTTAACATCAACACTTTCTGCCTTCTCCTCCAAGGTTATATCCCTCTCTAACACAGAGGACCCTCACCTGTCCGAGGCAGCAGGAAGGGCAAGCAGGGGAAATTCTCACACTACCTACCACATTCTCCATGCAATCAATTTTCATGGTATGAACAGTCCTCCTGGCTTTCCTTAAAGCCTTCTCTTTAGATCTTCAAGAGCTTATTTTCAAAGTTTCAAAACATTTTAAAAGACTTAATGTTGAAAGTTACTTTCTCCTTGCAGACTCATTGCAATGATCCTAATTCTTTTATAAGCAACTGTGAAGATCTCTAACTAGAGGAAAGGTCAAGTGTAAGAATGTTCAGAAAAGAAAAAAGGCACAAAATTTAATTTTTCAAGATGGCATCTCTCTACAACCTCATTCACTGCTCCTTCCTTCCCCACCAACTCTTCACTAACCCCTTACTTTTCCTTCATTAACTCTGGGAAACTTCTTTTTCAAACCTTAGTTGTCAAATCTGCTAATTAGTTTTTTTCAGACTTCATTTGACCTCTCCTATAGCATTTGATAATTTGACCATATCCTCTGTATTAGTTAGGAAAGGAGGGTGGTGGTGCATAAGTAGTAGACGTTTAACTCTATACTAGTGTAAGACAAGAGGAGAAGTTATTGGAAGGATATTGATCACTTCCTCCCAAAGAAATTACTTGTTCAATTTTGTTCTGGGATCTACATGTGGGCCTGGCATTTTCAAATCTATGCCCCTACCCAAGATAGAAATTAACTCCCTAATAACCTCTAACAAATGCAGTTGGCCTCAATTAAACATTTCTGAATGTTATTGTTTTCAATCTATTTAAACCTGCCTCCTTGTATTTTTTTATTTTATTTATTTAGTTGAGAGAGAGAGAAGCAGACTCCCTACTGAGCAGGGAGTCCGATGCGGGGCTCAATCCCAGGAAGGACCCTGGGATCATGACCTGAGCTGAAGGCAGACGCTTAACCGGCTGAGCCACCCCAGGCATCCCTAAACCTGCCTCCTTGTAACTTCCATATATTCTATCTGAATCTTCACTCAAGGGACAATGTGGTATATAAAGCTGGACCTTAATCAGACCTGGGTTTCAGGTCTGGCATGGCCATTGTGGAAAATAGTATGAAGTTTCCTCAAAAAATTATTAAAAGAACTACCATATGATCTGCAATTCTACTTCTGAGCAAATATCGAAAGGAATTGAAATCAGGATCCTGAAGAGGTATTCATAATACCCAAGATATAGAAATGACCTAAGTGTTCATCCATGGATGAGTAAATAAAGAAAATATGGTATATACATACAGTGAAATGTTATTCAGGCTTAGAAAAAAGAGGGAAATCCTGCCATTTGCAACAATATGGATGGACCTAGTGGACACTATGCTAAATGAAATAAAGCAAACAATGAAAGATATACTATATAATCTCACTTATGTGTATCACCTAAAAGAATCAAGTTCATAAAGAAAAGAGTAGTAGAATGGTGGCTTCCAGGAACTGAGGAGAGGGGGGATTTGGGGACATGATGGTCAAAGAGTAGCAAGGTTTAGTTATGCAAGATGAGTAAGTTCTGGAGATCCACTACACAGCATTGCTGTAGCTATGTGTTAGCTAAAATGCCTATAGCTAACAATACTTTAACATATACTTAAAATTTTCTAAGAAGGGGGGAGCCTGCATGGCTCAGTCAGTTGAGTGCCTGACTCTTGGTTTTGGCTCAGGTCATCATCCCTGGGTGGTGGGACAGAGCCCCACATCAGGCTCTACACTCAGGGCGTACTCAGCATGCAGAGTCTGCTGGAGGTTATCTCCCTCCTCCCCTTCCCCTCTGCTCCTCCCCCTGGTCCCGTGCAAGCACTCTCTTTAAAATAAATAAATAAACTCTTTTTTAAAAATTTTTTCTAAGAAGGAAGATCTCATGTTGTGTTCTTACCATAGAATAAATAAATAACAACAACAATGATAAGAGAGGTGGGGGAAAACTTTAGGAGGTGATAGATATGTTTATGGTCTTGATTGATGCATACTTATCCCCAAACTCATCGGAGTTGTATACATTAAATTTGTATAGCTTTTTACACGTCAATCATACCTCAGTAAAGTAATTTAAAAAGTAAAAATATATTTAAAAAGAACACATTAGCCATTCTTCGTGGAAAGATTCTTTAAAATTAAACATAATACAGTTGAAAAAAATTCCAAAGAATAGTATCTTTAATGAGATTTTAATCACTGTCATTTTAACTAAGCTTTTGTTGAAATGTATTTATCAGTACCAGAAAAGTACACATATATTATTTGTATATGAAAGCATATTTTAAATTCCATTTAAGCCCACTCATTTCATCTCCCACAGCTGCTTTTTTGTTTTGAAGAAAGATGAATAAGGAATAAATAGAAGGCCAATGTCTCGAATTGATGTAACCTGTATGGCCCCCTGAAAAATCCAAGCATGTATTCATATGCAAGAAAACTGTGCTGTCAAATACACAATCTCTCAATAGCCCAGGCATGAACTCATGCTTCCTACAAAAGAAAATGGGGGAAAGGGGGCAAATTGCAGTTCTTGAGCTTGACACACCCTAGAGAAAACCCCAGAGAGAAGAGGGGATTTGTATTTGTGCTCAGACAAGAAGGCAGAAGGTGCCAGTGACTGTAACACAGTGGTTCTGACATTTCGGGGGTTCCGGTCCTGATAAGATGTAGGGATCCCTACATGTGGTGCTGGAGTCACAGGGGGAAGCCTGAGACGGCTGCTTGGGGTGGATAATTGTATCTGTCTTTTTCCATTCAAGGTCCCCTAAGCATTCAGGTTCCCTGAGGGAAGCCAACCTCTCTCATCTTACTGTTTTTCCTAATCCATCTGTACAGTGTGTTCTGGCCCATGGGTGGGGTCAATCATACGTTAAAGAATCCTAGGGCTGAATGGAGGATTCGAGTTTCTCTGGTCTAAGCCTGTAATTTTCAGATTTAGAAAGTCAAGGTCCAGACAAGTGAGCAATGCGTCCAAGAACACACAGTCAGCTCTTGCACAGGTTCGTGTGCGTTGTTCATCCTGACTGCCATTTTACATAAGAAGAGAAGGAGTATTATCTGGATTCGGGTTCGGCCGAACTGGGCGGGGGGCGCTGTGCTGGTGCCCGCGGCTGGGAGTGGAGGAGAGACGGTGCAGGGCCAGGAGAAGGAAGGTGCCGCCCCGCGGGCAGAGTCTCAGTTACGTGTGTTTGAACTCAGCCACAGCGGGCTGCGGGATTCCGCCCAGGGACCCGGGAGCCTACGAGGTCCCCGGGGCGCAGGGCCATGTGCTGGTGACAGTGACGTCCTGCCCTCGGCACCTGAGCGCGCCGGCCGCGCACTCGCTCATCGTCTGCTCCACGCCGTCCACTTCCACGCAGACGTGAAAGCCGCCTTCCTCGCACTCCGAGGCTTCTCTGCAGACACACCTACCGCTCTGGGCTGGAAACATAAACGACGGAGGCTTAATGGCACGTGGTGGAGCGGGGAGAGTCCAGGCACAGAACCTCCAAAATTACGATGCTCTGCAGAGATCTCTAGAAGCGCCTGCCTCGGGGGACGCAACCAGCCCCCCTGGGAAAGCAGTAGGACCGGGAAGGGAGGCATTTTGCTGCCCTCAGAATAAGCAGGGTTTGAGGCTGCCCAGGCCGATTGGCCGGACCCACGTGGGCCAGCTCTCTCCAAGTCAAGGGCTCCCCAGTCCTCTCTCCGTGCTGTCTAGGGAAGCCAGAAACTGAATATAAATCCCTCAACCCCTGACAGATAAGGAGACCTCAGCAAAGACCAAGTCGCTGCAAGGCTCAAACAAGGACAAAGAAAAGAATTCAATTCGCTTTGAGACCTAGGGCATAAAACGCAAAAGGCCATATAGCCTGTAAAAATAAGCCAGAAATGAGTTGGGGAGGAATTCACTGTGTGCGCTGCAGGTGCCGGCCGGCCCACTGGTGACTGCCAATCCTAATGTGACCCCGTGGGTGGGGTTCGGTACATCCTGCCTTGGGCCACGAACTGTCCAGGAGTGAGAGGAAAAGGGCCCGGCTGATACAGGCCACGGGGAGGACATGAGTTGCTGGCAGAGATCTCACAGATCACACAGTCCAGCTCCCAAATTCCCACAGATGGGGAAACTGAGGGCAGTGACTTGGCTCCGGCCACCTAGGCTTTCCCCCTTAGTAAGGTAGCAAAACTGGGAGGAAGGCCATGCAAGGGTGCTATTTAAGATCATCGTCAGTGCTACTTGGACTTCGCGCTGGCAAATCTCAAGCCACAAGCCGAAAAACTAACTCCTTTTTCTATCGTCTTCAAATTCTTCTGATCACTTCTAGGAGAAAGTGTCACCTTGGCACTGACAGGCTTTTAACACTCCCCTAACACTTGCTAAACTCCCTTTCTCCCACAGAAGCAGTACCCCTCAAGCTGCCAGCCCCATCTGGCTAGACTCTACAACCTTATTTTGTTTCTTTACATGTATTTTTATAGTTACCTAATATTTATGGCATGTGATAGTTCCTTTTAAGAAAGTGATGAGAAAATGTCCTTTTTTAAAAATAGGTATTTTTATGTGAGTCTATTTTTTAAAATGAATACATAATCTGGATAATACAAGGAGCAAAAACCATGAAGGGGAAATGGGAAGCACCAGGGTTTGGGAGGACATTCAAACCATCGAGGATGGGTTTTTGTACTCTTAGGTACTCGACTCGATCCCCCTGCCCCCCTCCCCAGCTCCCCAGGGAAGGCTGTGGGCAAGGACAGTTCGCTCTCAGACCCGTCTGAGACATTCACATCCTCGGGGATCTGCTTGGATTTGCTGCTAAACTAGAACCCCCAGTTTTAAAAACCTCAGTACTACTACCTTCGCACTGTTGTGGTTACAAGTATGAAATGCCCCTTACCATCACATTTTCCCCAGAGTGGACAGGCACCACAGGCTTTCTCAGTGGGGACAGGCAGAGCGCAACTGTCCCTCCCAGCAAGGGTGTAATTTCTACCCTGACAGTGGAGAACATGCATCTTGCAAACTGTCAGAGGCAGTATCCTTTTGCTTCTCTCATCTCGAGCACATACATCCAAGGAGGATCTGAAACAAATTTTTAAAATTACATTACTTAGAAGATTTTCAGTCTTCAAAATGGAGGATGAGAAATGAAAGGAGAGACTCTGAGCTCAGGGCCTCCGATGTTACCAGCCACAGCAAAAAGATGGAGCAGAAACTCCAATTTCCTTCATGCTTGAGGGCTCACTCTCCTCAGATCTTCAAAATGAACATATTTTGCTATTTGCTCACAATTTTTACAAGCTTAGATATCTCGTGTTACTCTAGTTTCATCTAGAGCAGATCAGATACAGTGAATTAGAAGAGAAGGCAAGGTCTGCTCAGGACACTGGTGGGTTGACAAGCAGGAAGGAGGCAGAAAACCAGCAAAGATCACACACACACTCAAAGACTGTAGTCTGGTGGGACTGTTGACTGCAGAAGAAATTAGGTCCTCCCAGCCTAGCAGCCCCGAATGGCATTGTCCAACACTTGATGACCAAATCCTCAAGAGAAGATGAAATCTTATTTTTCAATGGGATTTTTTTTTTTTACGGTATAGTTATCAAAATCAGGATTTTTAATATTGATACAATACTACTATCTATTTCACAGACAATATTTGTCAACTGTTCCCCAAATGCCCTTTACATCTCTTTTTCCCTCTCCAAAGTCCAAGGATCACACACTCCATTCAGTTGCCATGTCTCTTTAATCTCCTTTAACCTGGACCAGTTCCTTAGTCTTTCATTGTCTCTCAAAAACAAAAACAAAAACAAAAACAAAAAAAAGTGAAAACAAAGTTAACATAATCAATGGGATTTTTTTTTAAGATTTTATTTATTTATTCATGAGAAACAGAGAGAGAGAGAGAGAGGCAGAGGGAGAAGCAGGCTCCCCGCTGAGCAGGGAGCCCAATGCGGGACTCGATCCCAGGAACCCGGGATCATGACCTGAGCCAAAGGCAGAAGCTTAACCATCTAAGCCACCCAGGCACCCTCGGTGGGATTTTTTAAAGTATTGATGTTTACAAAGTAGTTTAGAAATATTTCTATAAAAATACATTACTTTTTTTTTTCTTAAGCATGCATGCTAAAATGGTGAGATTCGGCTTTTTGGAAAGGTCACTAATAAAAACAAACACCTTCCTGAATGTTCATAGACAAGGAAGGCATTACTGTAGTGAACCCTTAGACATCAAAGTATTTTTGTATGGTAGATGGAGTTTATATTTATTTTTATATGTAATTAGCTCTAACATTTTCTTCAGTACCAAGAGCTAAATTTACTTGGAGTTATTTACATCACAAAAACAAATCCTTGTATCTTTCTTTTATCTGCTTATTTAAGCTTTAAATCGAACTACTCAGAACAGCTCAAAGGGCAGAGACCTGGTAAAGCCACCTTGTTATCAGTATCTGATAGAAAGCTCACACCGTGTCTATAAACAGCAGGCTACAGATAAAGTAAATGAATCAGAGAAGTTGGAAAGAGGATGAGAGTGAATCAAAGTCAACAATGATTCATAAAAAAATAACACCACAGTCAGAACACCCCGGGCGGACGACCACTACAATTTACACTGTTTAGCTATATTTTTCTCGAAAGAAGTTACTTCTTATAAGATACTGCCACAATCACCATTACCCACTGTAGGTGTTCAAGGAGTTAGATATGTGTTTCGGGGACAATAATAATTGAAAGCCAAGTACAGCTCACCCTCCAGCAACACTGGTTTGAACTGCACCGCGGGTCCACTTATACAGAGATTTGTTTTGATACAGACAGTACTATAAATGTATTTTCTCTTCCTTATGATTTTCTCAATAGTATTTTCTTCTCTAAAGATCACTTTATTGTAAGAATATAATTTATACGCCTGGGTGGCTCAGTCGGTCAGGCGCCTGCCTTCGGCTCAGGTTATGATCCCAGGGTCCTGGGATGGAGCCCTATATCAGGCTCCCTACTCAACAGGGAGTCCACTTCTCCCTCTCCCTGCCACTCCCCCTGCTTGTGCTCTCTCACCCTCTCTCTCTCTCAAATAAATAAATAAAAATCTTTTTTAAAAAAATATTTATGTTATTGGTAAGGTTTCCAGCCAATAGTAGGCTATCAGTAGTTAAGTTGTGGGGGCGTCAAAAGTTATACGTGGATTTTTGACTGTGTGAAAGGTTCTGCACTCCAACCCCCATGTTGTTCAAGGGTCAACCGTAATTGGTCAGTAATTGTATGTTTTGATTCAAACTTAAAGATGACCAATAAATCTGGGGGCCTAGATATCTCCCATTTGCCTCTCCAGATTCACTCTCCATTCTCCGCCCCACTGCTGGGAAGGCTGACACTGTGAACCACTCCCTTATCCTCTAACTTCAGGTGCATTTGATCAATGGCAGGAGATTGGAGGGATGTTTAGTGCCGTGGCTCACTCCAAGGCGGGGGTTGGGGGGCGTTCCCTGAGGTTCCTAAAATGAGGGACTCAGCTCTTCCTCAGCTGCCATCTGCACAGTCTTCTCTGTCTCCAGCTTTGCATAAAAGCCCCTCTTGTCACTGCTTCAGGCCCCTGGCACAGATATGCACCCTGGCTGTTAGCAGTCAGGGAATACTGCCCCCTGGCGTGCAGTTTCCTTCCCTCTGCCCACATGTCTATAAATAGTCCCGCTAGGAAACTTCCTCTTGTCCTAAGGCAATCAGACTACCTGTGTCCCACTAGGACCATAACCCAGACATCTAGTACCTGCTTCAGCTATCCACCTACAGCAGAGTGATTGCAAGTTGGGTGGCATTCTTATAATGCCCATCTCAAGACACAGCCATTTTGAGAATCGGAAAAGCAGCTACTTGTATCTCTGTTGGAACACTGTGTAAGAGTTTATATTTCAAGGGAATTTCAACCCTAATTTCCTCAAGCTCTAAATCCTCGAGTGACAGTGTTTTCATTTTGCCCCATTTCATGTATAAAACAAGCAGTGCCCGAATCCTTCAGCCTTTCTCTAGACGGAATAGAACACTGCTTAACGCCACTGGTTGCCAGCCCTGGTGACCCAGGCAAATAGCAGACAGTAGATGGGCCAGGCTAAAACGCAAACAAAGATCCTTAACCCTTGGTCAGCAGCACCTTCGATCTAACAGAGAGACTAGCATCTACTGACACTTTTTTATCTTGAATAAAATAAAACAAAGAAAAATAAAATATAAAAATAATGAAATAAAAATAAAGCAAAAACAGAGCTTACCCACATTCATAAGGCATTTTACAAACACATCTTGAATTCTGCAGTTTCTCCCAGCGCTGACATTTGGGCACTGCTGGTGGCAAAGGGGCATCTGAAAGAAAAGGATAAAGGAGATGCAGTCATTTGAGGAGCTGCTTTGTGGTAAACAAGATGTTATTTTAATTATTGAACCAGGTTCTGTAATATTCTCAACTGCTACAAATTTGTACAGCCAAAAAACAAAGCTGTAAAGCATTTTACAGAAGACAGAGCATTCCTAGGAGTACCCTACAAATAATTTCATTGTTACCATTTCTTGAGCATTTCCTGTTGTGTGAGCACTGCCTATTGTGATATTTAATCCTCCTTAACAGACGCCCACTTCAGAGTTAAAGACACTAAGGGTCAAGGGCACCTGGCTGGCTCAGTCAGTTAAGCGTCTGCCTTCGGTTCAGGGCACAATTCCGGGGTCCTGGGATCGAGCCCCACATCGGGCTCCCTCCTCAGCGGGGAGCCTGCTTCTCCCTCTCCCTCCTCCTGCTGCTCCCCCTGCTTGTGCTCTCTCTGTGTCAAATAAATAAATAAAAATCTTAAAAAAAAAAAAAAAAAAGAAACAAACAAACAAAGGGTCAGAAAAGCTAAGAAACTGGTGCTAGTTCACATGTTTAACAGATTGGCCAAGGCAGGATTTAAGTCCATGTTTGTCTCAACTCAAGGCCAGGGGAGAAGGCTTCCTTTCATTAAGAAATTGCAATTTATAAACTGTTGTCCGGACTGCATTTTACCCACTCTGTCTATAGTGGGACAGAAAGCCACATAATGTGATCTATACATGGAGAACTCCCTGGTACCCCAAGATGTATAATAACCTCTCACATGTAAATGTCTAATTGGTTTCCCTTCAATAGTGAGTCAATATCTAGAGGTATTTACATTTAATAAAATCCTTTCCGTTGCTTTGTGTTTTCTACAAACTGATCAAAGTCAACCATCATTCCAATTTTGACAGGAAAACACCTTGGTCGGGCTTACAAGAGCTGAACTTGACGGCCATCTCCTCAGCTATCTCTGATTACAAGGTGAGTAGCCGAAAATACCCTATTTTCCACCTCCTGCCAACTTCATGACAATGGAATTCGGTGGCATATACTTTCTCATCATAAAACTAGTTCTATGTTGGATATATCTATAAAGGTAATTTATCTGAGGAGCATATTTTTATGGATGCACAAACTGTGCAATACTTCCTCACTCTGGAAAACTTAAGAGCTTTAGACATGACAGTAAAATCTCATGAACAATTCATAACTTGTAAAAAGTGGCAGCAATGTAAATAAAGCATAGCCTGCCATGTCCAGCCACATCTGTAATGAGTACTCATTCTTTAAACTCTTCCCTTTAAAAGACTATTACCCTAAATGCAATGTAGTATTCTGAATTGGATCCTAGATCATTAAATGGATATAGCAGAAAAAATAAAATCTGTAGTTTAGTCAATAGTATTACACTAATATTAAATGTCTTAATTAACCCACTAAATTAGGTCAAGTTATATGAGATGTTAATATTATGAGAACATGGTAAAGGGTATACAAAAACTGTATTTGTGACTTTTCTGAAATCTAATATTATTCCAAAATAAAATGTTTTTTAAGCTGGTGTTCTCCAGGGAGCGCCTGGGTGGCTTAGTCAGTTAAGTGTCCAACTCTTGATTTCGGATCAGGTCATGATCTCAGAGTCATGAGATCCAGCCCCACCTTGAGCCACCACATTTAGCAGATTCCATCCCTCACACTCTCCCTCAGCCCCTCCCTCACTGAACAACAACAACAACAACAACAACAACAACAACAAAAAGATGGTGTTATCTAGATCAGTGCTTCTCAACCAGTGGCAATTTGGCAATGTCTAGAGACATTTTTGGTTATCATAACCAGCCGTGAGGAGGTGCCACAAGCATCTAGTAGGTAAAGACCAAGGATGCTGCTAAATATCTTACAACGCACAGGTCAGGCTCCCACAACAAAGAATAACCAGGTCCAAAATTCCAATAGTGTTGGGGTTGAGAAAGTCTAATCTTAAATGTACCAAAACTAAGTTCAATGATAACGTCATATAAATGAGTTCTGTATTACGCTTAGAAGTTTATTTGCTAGAGGCAGGGGAGAGGAGACGGGGAATGCAAAGAAGGTGGTCAAAGGGTACAAAATTCCAGTTATAAGATAGATGGGTACTGGGGATGTAAAGTACAACATGAAGACTATGGTTAACTGCTCTATGATATACGGGTAGGTTGTTGGGAGAGTGGATCCTGCGAGTTCTCACCACAAGGAGAAATTTTCTTTTTTTTTTTATTGTATTTTAGCAAGATGATGGATGTCAACTAGACCTACTGTGGTAATCATTCCACAATAGATATAAATCAAACCATCATAATGTACACCTTGAACTTCTACAGCAATGTATGTCAATTATTTCTCAATAAAACTAGAAAAAATATTTTTTAAAACTTTATTTACTAATCATTCATAAGAATGAAATTCTAGATTTTAAATGTTTTCTAGAAGTTATTATAATTTCTTTATGAAAAATCACTGGTAGAATTAGCTAGACCAAAGACCTTTGCATTTAAGAACATATAGCTTGGTTATCTTCATATATCTTTACATCAAGACTACATATTGATGGAGGGAGGGAGAAATAAGTGGTTAGTGTTTAATGAGCATGGAGTGCCAGTTTGGGAAGATGAGAAAGCTCTGGAGATGGATGCTGATGATGGTTGCACAATAATGGGAATGTACTTAATGCACTGAACTGTACGTTGACAAATGGCTAAAATGGTAAATGTTATGTCTGTTTTACTGCAATAAAAATAAAAAGACTAACTACTGATAGCAGGCATTTTAAAACATCAGCCTTGGAGGCTGACAAACCTGGAGTTTTCTATTTGTGATAGGCTTATTTTAAGGGAAGTTACTATTCTTATTCATCATGTCTTCCGAAAAACACGCAGGCCTGAAAAATATCCTTAACTGAAACTTTAATAGGATTTGCTACTGTGTAGGAGAAAATTCATACTGAATTGTGCTACAAAATGACTGGAGCAGACATTTCAGAAAGACAAGTATGTAATATCGCCTTTGGAATGAAAGAGCAACCTCAGCAAGTGTACATTGTTCTCTTTAATTTTAGAATTCCTGGTACAGGTCCATTACTTCAAATGTCCCTGATAAATTCATATTGATGCATCAGTGCAGTAGAAAACAAAGCACTTGTCTCTGCTGTGGACCTCTGACAGCTAACAAGCACGTGGACACCAACATGGCGGGCACCTGGCTGGCCCTGCTGCCTCCTGATGATAATCAGTGTCTATATTTAACACCACAGCCCACGTCCACTGTCAGATGCAGAGGATTCTGTACAGCCTGCCCTCTCTTTAGTTGTGACCATCTAATTCACCTGATGGTATCACTCACAGAATCTAGCACTTCATCCTCACCATAAAAGGCAAATTTTAGCATTGGATTAAAGTCATTCACCAGAAAAATAAGAATACCATATAAAATGGAATGTAAATGCATTTTCCTCCCTTCCTGTTTCTTAATTGTCACAACCATGTGTTTCCCATTTATTTTTAAAAATGTAAACAAAGAAGAAACAGGAAGTGATTTTAAAAACAAATCCATCCAGGGCGTCTGGGTGGCTCAGTTGGTTAAGTGACTGCCTTCGGCTCAGGTCATGATCCTGGAGTCCCGGGATCGAGTCCCACATCGGGCTCCCTGCTGAGCAGGGAGTCTGCTTCTCCCTCTGACCCTCTTCCCTCTCGTGCTCTCTATCTCTCATTCTCTCTCTCTCAAATAAATAAATAAAATCTTTAAAAAAAAAATCCATCCTACCTTAAATACCTCTAAAAAGAAATGGTTTGGCTTTCTAAACCTCTTTTTACCGTAGCTTCTTAAAAGGCCATTTTAATTTGCTTGGTGTTCAGAATACTGAATTTTTGGATTTCCACTATTAAGAACATCTTCACAAACCACCACACTTTGCTTTCAATAACTTCTGCTTTGAAGTGTTAACTGTAAATGCTTCTAAATTTTCTATTTCAATAATGCTAATAAACTCTCTGAAAGCCCAGGAGTGAAACATAGATTTTTTTAATAAATTTTCAACTCAACTCTGTACTTAATAAAAGTGCATTCCAAAAATCTGGAGAAAACCAGAAATTATTTTCTAAAAATCCTTTATTTTCTTGGCACCAAAACTTATCTAATCTTCGGTAAGAAGGATTTAAGTTAGTTTCAGAATCACCAGGGCTCTCCTTGCCGTTCCTTGCATCCCATGAGTCTATCTGTGCCATGTGAAAAAAAGTCTGTTATCCAATCCACAAACTGACCTCCTTGTAGAGGGGCAGGGATGGAGGGAATGACTCACAGTTATGTCCATCCAGTGCCATAAAGGACTGTCACAAGGACCCTCACTCACCTGAGTGCAGGTGTCCTTGGACAGACCTATGAGCTACTCACCTTTTTGCACACACTGAACACTCTTCATATCAGGACTCCACTTAAGGCTGGATCCACAGAGAAATGCTGAAGGACCTTCTAAGGACATGCCACCTGAACAGGAAATGGTCACCTTCTCACCAACTCCATAAAACTGTTTGTGGGGATGACTCTGTATGCCATCCATCAATGCAGGTAGAATGCAGGCAATTTCTAAAGATAAGAGAAAACAGAATACAAGGGTCATTGCTTTCCTAAGCCATCTTTTTTTTAAAAATGATAGCTTTGAATAGTGCTAATACACATGCTCTGCTTTTTTCACATTAGAGGACAAAGAGGAAGAGGTAAGTTCACTCCTGGGATACCCTGAAAGACATGTCCCATAGTGCCTGGCATGTAATTGACCAATGAAAGACTGAAGACCAAAACAGTTCCCATCCTCCACCCCTACCCTCAAAGCAACATGCCCACTTAAAATGAACCAGACTTACAAACAGAGTCCTAAAGCCCAGGCTGCTGTGCAAACCACGATTTTCACAGCTGCCACTTATCTCTTGGGTCTGGTGAAGTCCCACCGGAATTTTCCCAAAAGCACTATTCATCTGCATATCATTAACATATATCCAATTAGATATTTTTACTATCTGAAAGTTTTAAAGAACCACCTTTAACCTTACAGCCATAAAAGTATTAAATAGTCTTTGGTTTTCCATCTCTAGTCTTTCTCACTTGATTACATTCATTAGCTCAAATCTTCTACTTGAGAAAACAGCAAAAGAGAAAAATGAGAAACTTGCATAGTTATGAGACACAAGTCATAATTTATGATTTAAAAAAAAATCTTGGCAATCTCTCTAATGGACTTTGGACAATATTCTACAAAATCCTGCTCTGTTTCTTTACCATTTCCATCAGAAACTCCATTTATTCATTAATTCAAAAACAGCATCTACGGAGTGCCTATATTTAGCCAAGTATGTTGTGTGCTGCTGGGGATGTAACAGATACAAGTCTACAACATTTGGTAATACCTTTCTCCTTGAGGTATCTGTAATTTGAAAAAAAAAAAAGCTGAAAGACTGCTAAACTAAGGAGGAACTGCAACCCAGAGGCTGAAAAGCTGGTAGTTTTTAACAATCTTATAGGGCTGGGGCGCCTGGGTGGCTCAGTCGTTAAGCGTCTGCCTTCGGCTCAGGTCATGATCCCAGGATCCTGGGATCGAGCCCCTCATCGGGCTCCCTGCTTGGCAGGAAGCCTGCTTCTCCCTCTTCCCACTCCCCCCACTTGTGTTCCCTCTCTCGCTGTGTCTCTCTCTGTCAAATAAATAAATAAAATCTTTAAAAAAACAATTTTGTAGGGCTAAGGGATCAAGAGTTAGAGTCTACTCCCATCAAAAAAAAGGAACCTAGGGAGAAATCCCAGACTTTCTATTGGGATCCCTTAATGGCTACACCCTAGGAACAAAGGTAAACAAGACATAAAACAGCCTCACTGCTTGCCAGAAACAAAATCAAATCTTTTCTAGAGGAAGAGAAGAACATCACCCAAAACCTCAAATGACTCCTTTATTTTTTTACACATAAAGTCTGGCATTTAATCAAAACTAATCTAACATTCAAAAGGACAAGAATTAAATAGACTCCCCAAAAAAGACAATAGAAACAGATCCACAGCAGGTCCAGATATTGGGATTAACAGCAATGGACCTTGAAATAACTGTGACTAACATGTTGGGAAAAATTAAATAACAAGGTGCAGAATTTCAACAGAGAATAAGAAAGTATAGAAAAGTGGGGACAAATTAAATATCTAGAATTGGAAAATGAAATTAAGAACACAACAGTTCTTAAAAGCGGATCATATACAACTGTATAGAGACTTAATAAACTGGAAGGTAGATCAATAGAAAGTATTTAGAATGAAACCGAGAGGGTGACTGGGTGGCTCAGTGTTAAGTGTCTGCCTTCAGCTCAGGTCATGATCCCAGGGTCCTGGGATGGAGCCCCATGTCTGGCTCCCTGCTCAGCGGGGAGCCTGCTTCTCCCTCTCCCTCTGCCACTCCCCCTGCTTGTGCTCTCTCTTTCTCACCCGCTATCTCTCAAATAAATAAAAAATAAAATCTAAAAAAAAAATCATTTAGAATGAAAGAAAGAGAGGGGGAAAATGATGTAAAACAAAGAAAAGAATGTAGGTAATATATACAGTCTGAAAAATACATCATTTGTGTCTCACAAGGAGAAATGAGCAAGAATGGGACAGAGTCAAGGAGGACACAATAGTCAAGAATTTCCTAAAATTGACAAAAGACAGTAAAGCCAGATTCAAGAAGTGCTTCGAATATCAACCAGGGTAAAGACAAAGAAAATCACATCTAGGCACATCACAGTGGAGGTGCTTCTGAGACACAAGCCCTGGGGAAAAAAGGAAATTCTCAAAAGTAGCTGGACATAAGATTTTCAAACCAGAAACAATAAGACTCAGAGTAAATGTCTCACTAGAAAATAGTGAAGTCAAAAGGCAAGGAATAAAATCTTTAAAGGCCTTAAGTAAAATAACTGCTAACCTAGAACTCCTTACCCAATGAAAATATCCTTCAAAAACAAAGATAAAATAAAGACATTTTAAGATGAACAAAGACTGGGACCATTTCTTATCAGTAGATTCACAATAAAGGAAAAAAGCTCTTCAAGCACAAGCATCTTATTAAACATTTTGAAGAACTAACTTTTGGCTTTATCACTCCGAGGTAGGAAATGTCTATATTCTATTTCAGTAATTTCTGCTCAAGGACTCCAGGAGTGAGAGACAGACAGAGACAAAGACAAAGAGGAAAAGAAGAGGTTCTACGGATCAAAAAGAAGAAGACAAACAGAAAATAGGGGCCAAAAGTTGAACAGTCACTTCATCAAAGAGGATATGCAAATGGCCAATAAACATGAAAACAGGCATGACATCATAGTCACCAGAAAAAAATACAAATTAAAAAATAAAATATTGCTACACACTCACCAGTACAGCTAAAATTTTTAAAAGAATGATGATGTCAAGTGTTGGTGAGGATACAGAGCTATCTTGGCTTCTCAGATTCTGGTAGGGATGTACGTTGGTACAACCATTTGGAAAACTGGTAGCATCTACTAAGTCTAAATGTATATACACCCTATGATTCAAAATTTCACTAAGAGATGTATACCCAAGAGAAAAAAATGTACATGTGTACACTAGGACTTTTTTCACATCACATAGACCAACTGATAGAGGAAAAATATGTCTCTACAGCTCTATCCATCCACTGAACCAACTTACAGCTCAGTACAAATGAGATGGAAGGCCAACAGGAGCATTAGCTTGGTTAGCAGAAGCACGTACTCAGGTGCCTACATCTGAACAGAATAGGACCCAAAGCATTTGAAGAAGTACACTGATGATGGTACATCCCTAGAAATTGAATTATAGAGGATATTCTGAAGGTCTGCACCAGACCTGAGCTCCCTGACCTATTCTAATTTGCACCAGAAACTTTAAAATTCCAGTAAAATGTGCCTCCCTTAACAGGTGCACTATCAGCTAGAGAGTGCTGAGGGCTTTTTCAAGACACAACTGAAACTTGGACAGGATCATATGAGCCTCTCAGGAAAGGGAGGTCAAGACATGGGCCACACAGTGAGCAGTGATTCATCTTGATTCATTCTCTTCCCCATGATTATCTCATCCTAAGTTGTACACTACAACCAAGGCCACTCACTCTGACAATGCATTTCCCCAACAAGCCACTGTAAATCGTCTCCACATCTGGCTACAGGGTCTCCGATAAGAGAGTATCCTTCATCGCAAGTATATACTACGTTTTTCCCAACAGGAAACATCGCACCTTCATCCTAAACAGAAATAAAAGAGAGACACACAGAAAAAAGTATGTCTATTGTGTATTAACAGAATGTTTCTTTAGATATATTTGGCCTATAAATCATGCCTTCTTTTAATCATCAGGCAAACTAAGTTCAAATAACTAATTTAGAAAATTGTCTATAAAAACATTTTTCCCATGGGGGGGAATCGGAGGGGGAGACAAACCATGAGAGACTATCGACTCTGAGAAACAAAGAGGGTTCTAGAGGGGAGGGGGGAGGGGGGATTGGTTAGCCCGGTGATGGGTATTGAGGAGGGCACGTACTGCATGGAGCACTGGGTGTTATACAAAAACAATGGATCGTGGATCACTACATCAGAAACTAATGATGTATTGTATGGTGACTAAGATAACATAATAAAATTTAAAAAAAAAATTTTTTTTCCCTGTACGGTCCTAATCAACAACACTTGTACTACCATTAATTGAAATAAAGCCATTAACGCTACTCTACTATAATTTATCGATTGTCCCCAAGATACCAAGCACAGTTGTGAGCATTTTACTAAAATTACTTTAGTGGACACTGCCCAAGTCACTTTCTTCCCTCATCTTTCAGGAAAAGACAGTTTGTTTTCAGATTTTGGAAAGGTACTTGTCAGTCAATTCTTCACACTAAGATGTTATGGGCTCTTTATAGCAATACTGCCTAATAAAAGCCAGTAGGAACAGACAGAAATATTCAGATCCTATCAGCATGTGCATGAAAGTTTAAGTTTCTCACTGATGACATTTAGAGGAAGCAGAATGCTGATCTTCTCCCATTCCACCCTCCAACCCCTACCCTGTCTGGGAAGTGCTGCTGGGACTGGGCCAGATTCAAGCACATGGTGTTGGCCGGTGATCCCAGGAGGTGAGCTTTCACAGTGAAGCAAGGAAGAATTTGAAGTCTAAGACCTAAGGATGTGATCATGCTCTTCTGGGGTTTCTCTTAGTTCCTTTCCTCATCTTTTAGGAATGACCCCAAGGGGAGGGTTGGGAGCTGGACCTATTCTGCTCCAGGCATTAGAACAAAATCCCATGGTGCCTTTTTCTCTTCACTGTCAGTCCTGGCCCAGGCTGGCTCCATCGTGGGAGTTGGTAGGAAACAGAGGGCCCAAGTTAATACTGAGGTTTGAAGAAAATGGGGAAGGACACTTGATTTGTTATGGTGCTAGTCTCTAGGCCTTCCTTTGCCTTGCAAAGGGGACTGCTATATGGGGAAGTTGAACTCAACAGTGCCCAAACTTAACTCTGTATCAGAACAACTAGTAGCAATTAAAAGGGCGGGGGGGGAACCTGGGTGGCTCAGTTGGTTAAGTGACTGACTTCAGCTCATGTCATCATCCCAGGGTCCTGGGATGCAGCCCCCATTACATCAAGCTCCCTGCTCAGTGGGGAGTCTGATTCTCCCTGTCCCTGTGCACCCTCCCCCCAACTCATGCCCTCTCACTCTATCTCTCAGATAAATAAGTAAAAACTTAAATAAAAAAAAAAAACAAAACACAACTCTCAGGCTCTACCCTAAATATACAGACTGAGAAAAAAATGGAAGATAAGGGACAAGCAGCAATCTCTATTGCTAAGTTCCCTGGGTGATGCAGCCCATCTGTGGGGCAGTGTTCGGAACCCCTGGCTCCTTACAGGACGCACATGCACTGGAGTCTGGGACAACAGTTCACGATTTGCTGAACCACACAAATTTGCTTGGCCTTGTTCTCCAAGCCTATGTTTCCTTCAGGAATTTTATGGATTGTGGTAACTGTATTGGGACATAGGAGTGTTAGAGAGGCTGGGTTCATTCCCCTGTCTCTCTCTCTACACACACACACACACACACACACACACATCTCTTCCATTTCCATTACCTACATTTGGGAAAACTTCAGCGAAATGTCAGTGAGCATATGTTTAAGGGCCTGGAATTTGAAAGGCAAATCCTTTGTGGAGAAAGCAAGACTGGCAGCACTGAGAGGGTCCTGATGGACAGTATGTCTTCTGTGAGCCAGAAAGACACTTCACTGCTTGGGGCCAAAGCCTCATCATAACAAGCAGTGAGAAGAACATGAATTAATATGGCCCAAAAGCCAAAAAAAATTCCCTAGAACGACAAGTGGCAGATGACTTGTGTTCCTTCCTGAACGAGAAAATTTGCTCAAAGTATAATGACCCATATCTCACCAACACTGGCAAAATGTCTTACCGGCTTCTGGAATAAACCCACTTTTCATCCCAAACCTCATATTTATGAAAAAAAAATTTAAAGACATTTTCCAGTGGCAAGAATAAAGTTCTCTTTGTTGAAAAACATGCTTATGGATTCCTATTTTAGTGTTCAAAATGAAAATGTTCAGCAGCCCTCTGGCATGATTACATTTCTAATTTCATTGGCAGCAGTATTGATTTACCTTACCACAGAAGATATACTGCCTTCTGCAGAATTCTAATCACCTTGGGCCAAAGAAGAAAAGTCACAAACTAAAACCCTCACCACTAAAACTAAAATGCACATACAAACTATTTTTAAAACTGTTTCATCATGGAAAAAGGAAATAGATTATGACATCAGTAGAGAGAGAGAACTTGGAGCAAAGGGTATATATGTAAAGGAAAATAATATATCTTCCATAACCAACTTGAACAAATCCATCTTTCAAGGCAGGAGGTGATGGACAGAATTCTTTTGGAGCCAAAGACAAAGGAAAACAATGTGGTTCGAGCAATCTGAAAGGAAAAGGAAACAAAACATAATTAATGTGATGGATTTCCACAGAATAATAAATATTTTGCAGCACAGTGAGCTTTTCATTTACATCTGAAGGGACTCCATTCACATAAATACATTGATGTGATTGCCATTCTCAGAATCAATATCTGATCATATCCTGTACTAGAAAACTCAAACATAAACTCAAGCTTCCAAAAAATAGCTAGTAAGTCAATAGTATGAAGAACAAAAAGAAAGAGAAGAAAATAGAAGTCACTGGACAACACACCTACTTTATGTGATTTCTAGAGGTCACGTCTCAGACCTACTTTTTCTCCTGCTGTCTGGTTCTGAAATGCCTTTAACACAGAATTAATTCTGTATTCAAAATAAGGCAAGGGGCGCGTAGGTGGCTTAGTCGTTGGGTGTTTGCCTTCAGCTCAGGTCATGATCCCGGGGTCCTGGGATCGAGCCCCGCATCGGGCTCCCTGCTCAGCAGGAAGCCTGCTTCTCCCTCTCCCACTCCCCCTGTTTGTGTTCCCTCTCTCGCTGTCTCTCTCTCTCTCTCTTTCAAATAAATAAGTGGATAAAATCTTAAAAAAAAAAGCCAACTGAACTACACAATCATTTAAAAATAAATAAATAAATAAGGCAATAACACTGATCCTGCAAGAGAGGTAACACAAAAATAGTAACTAGCTTTGACCGAGCGTTTATTATGCACAGTCGCTATACAAATGCACATTATCTCTACTCACATTCACTGTAGGCCTAGGAGGTATGTGAAAAAAACAATGGCTCAGAAAGTTTGAGTGACTTGTCCAAGGTTATAAAGTAATAAATATCAAGACTGCATTCACACTATAGTCAGTTAGGCTACTAAAGTCATGCTCTTTCTACCTCCCATAAGGCCATCTCTAGACAAAGCTCCTAATAATAGTCACAGTGATATCCAACATTAAACAACAGTTTTCAGTAGTACCTCTAAAGCCAGCATTCCACCAGTACTACCCCCACCCCAGAGATTTGAACTCTGAGGGAAAACATGACAAATGGCCTCTGAGTGTTGCCTCCTCCCCAGCTGAGTTCCTTATACGCTTGCCATATTCTGAGGAAACTCAGAAATGTGAAATCTTGGTTGTAATTCTCCTCTTTGTACTGAACAGGAGGAGATTTCCCCTCTGAGCACCACGAGCGAGAATTCCTTCAATGCCTTCCTTAGGATGCTCCTTTCCCTCCAGCTTTCTGTCTAGAGGCAGGGGAAATATGGCCACTCTGGCAGAGGCGTTCTCCAATGGAGACCCTCATCTTCTCCTCCTACCATAAATCCATATGCTCACCAGCCTCCTGGTCATGAGATATTCATTATTGTTGGATTAGGAAGCACCAAACACCTAGGAAAAAGGCATCCCACCTCCCTATGTTTCTACCAGATACCCAACTATCTTATAGCTTTCTTCAACTCACATGACCTTCGAATTATCTTACTATAATGTTTTGCCAATCCCTGATCAAAAGAGGTTCATAAAGACAGTGTAAAACAGTAAGGAATGGCCTGAAGAATTCTGACCAATGGGTATAATTCATCAGCTAAGCATTTTGAGATAGCTTTTGCAAAGTCCTGGCAAATGAGAAGTTGGTGTCAGACAGCTGGGCTAATCAGTCTAGATATTAGCCATCTCAAGCCTCTGGCTTTATGCTTACTCCTGAATAAATGAATGAATGAATGAATGAATGAATGAATGAATGAATAGGATTGGTATATCTGAAAAGTAATACAACTATTAATGAATGCTTCTATGTGCCAGGAACTATACTGATCACTTTCTGTGCTGAATCTCATTTAATTCTGACAACATCCTACCATTGTTTTACCTTCTATGATTATACTAATTTTAGAGGTGTGGCAAGTAACTTGCCCAACGTTACCCAGCAAGTAGGTGGCGGATCTCCTTGATGCCAAAGCTGCTCGGATCCCCTTGGCCAGATGGCCTCCCAGTTACCCAGCCTTCTGTAACATCTGTGTCAGGAAAACTTGAAACACACAAGTGCTAGTTGGCTACACGTCTCCCTCCGTCAAGTGACCCCACTGCTAAGGGCAAAGTAGTCACTGATAAAAATTGCCATTTAACTTCTAAATCTTTGAATAGCGGCAATCGCGTATTCCACGCTTACTGCCGAGGGCACTGCGTTCTATGCAATTGCCAGGACGTCCGGCCGCCATTACCGCAAATGCTCCAGCTCCTCGTGCTCGCATGGGCTGCTTTCGGACGGTTCTCCAATACAGGATCGCCCACCCTCACTGGGCGGTGGGTTATTGCATTCTCGTCTCCTTGTTTTCTTCCCTTGAACACAGGGGCCCCAAGAGGACCAACAACTCCAGCCCCCATCCACTCCTCCTGTAAGATAAGAGAGGGGTGGTTCAGAAAGCCTCGGAGAGGAAGATTTCAGAGTTTAGTGCTGAGCTTCCCGCTCAGGCGGTTCCTGGGGGAGGGGACGGTCTGGGCACCCACTCCCTTCCCTCGGTTCAGGAGGTCTTCTACAATGACCAGAATGTCTCTGCACCCCGACTAGATTTGTCCAGGTTAAGGCTGCGTTAACAAGCTTCTTGCAATAATATCTTAAATTTGTTTATCATTTTGCAACTGTTTCAGAGCACTTTTACAGACATCCTACCATTCATCTCCTTCTCTCCAGAATGAATCAAGATGGGCAGGAGGTCTGTGACCATTCTCAGTTGATAGGTGTGGAATCTAAGACAAGGTGGTTAAACGTCATGCCCAGTGCCCTAAGGGCTGCCAGGAGCCACGTCCAGACAGCAACATGGCCTTGCCCCGGAGTCCAGGCTCCTCTCCTTACAGCCGTTCCTATTGTGAACCTTTCTATTGTAAAAGCAGTGATGGGGCATGAGAACATAATCTACTGAGTATTCCCTACTCCCGACCGCGGAGCTGCCACTATTAAATGAGGAAGTGCCTAAGCAGGAGAAATGCATCTGCCTCCTGTCCACATCTTTCAGTCCACAGGCACTTGCTCAGCCCAGGCTGGCCACCTTCCAACTCAGGGCCGATTCACCACTAACAGTGCTTTTACAACTTCCCCCATAATATTCCTTGGGGGAGGCAAGAGAGAACTTGCACTATAGTCTAAAAACTTGGCTTTCCTAGTTAGAAACTGATCTCAGAAACCATGCCGCCGAAGCTTTACTTCCTGATGATAGACAGATATGTTTACCGCTCCTTAGCTATTTCTACTGTGTGACCCACTCCTCAGTATCACACACACCAAAACTAAACTAATTTTGTAATATTTTCCCATGAGCTTCCTTATGCTTTCTTCCATAATTAGAAATTGAATTAATAAAGTAGTCCCCTGAGCATATTAACAGGGAGTAATAATAGCTTGATATATTATGACTGTTACCCCAACCCTTACCAGCAGGGGGAGCGTCCATTTTCTCAAATAACAGGAAATCCAAGCCACAAAGAAATGAAATCAAAGGGGTGGAATTTCAATTGACCAGACAGACCATTTGGGAAGAGAATTGGAGGCAAGGATGCCTTCTTGATGCTTGTCTATAAGCAACCATAGTTTAGTCATGTAGTCATTCATTCATCAAACATTTATTAAGTGACTCCTGTGAATCAAGCCCTGTTGGGCTCTGGGATAAAAAAAAGCAATCATCGTTCTGACCTTAAGAAATGAGCTTGCTAAAGGAGAGAGACATATAAATAAATACAAAATTGTCTCATACATTGTCTACTCATAAAGTCAACCTCACATAGTTCTATACTAAAGTACTTAAAGTACCAACCATTCAGTTGGACACATTCAGCAGATGTTCAAAAGTATTTGTGAATAATTGATTGATGGAACACAATACAAAATAAAAAGAGATATTTCAAAGAGCTTACCATCAGAAAGGTTAAGCTATGCATACACCAGCTCCACAGACCTATGTTATGACAAAACTTTAATGAGATGACTATGGAAGGACAGAGGTGTTTTAGGCATTAATCCATTCCAATGGAGAATGAAGAATGGAGGGCATGGTGGGTCTGTTAATTAAGACAGGAAAACAGAAGGGCTCCTGGGTGGCTCAGTCAGTTGAGTGTCCAACTCTTAATTTCAGCTCAGGTCATGATCACATGGTCGTAAGATCGAGACCTGCGTCCCTCGGGCTCCATGCTCAGCAGGGAGTCTGGCTTGAGATTTTTCTCTCACTTCCTCTCCCGCCCCTCCCCCTCCTTGTGTGCACACTCTCTCTCTCAAATAAATAAATAAATCTTAAAAAAAAAAAAAGACAGGAAAACAGAGACAACAGAAGGCCTTGACCCAGTAGCTTGAACCCTGAAATGGAATAGGAAAGGAGACACTAAATTAAAATGTCCATACACAAAGAAGCACAATGTCAAGGGCCAGACAGAGTGATTCCCTTTTCACTGTGTCCAGCATAACCAGCAAAAATTCAGCACACTGACCTGCTTCATTCCCTACGAGGACTCCTTGCTCACAAGCCACACCAAATGTATACGGTTTGCAGTGGCACTGACATTGGGTCCCCTTAACGGTGGCAATGCCACCATTTTGACAAGGTCGGCAATGGCAGGGGTCAAATTCATCCAGATATTCCTCAAGAGCTCGCTTCAGGTATAGTCTTTTCACGGAGGCACAGGGTACTTCCTTTACCAGCTCATACAAGGGCGTCAGCTATACAGATAAAGACATCATGGTCGTAGTCAGGGTTTTAGGCAAGAAAATTTTCTTCTGGCATTTAGGATCAATTCCCGTTAAAATAAAATGAAAAGCCACTCATGTTAATTCCAATTGTTTCTTGTTCAAATAAAAAAAAAGCAATTCACTGTCTTTGCAAGGCAAAATGAAAAATTGGAATGAATAAGGAAGAAGTATTTTGCATAAAATTTTTCAAAACCAACAGGACATCCATTTTCTAGTTATTGAAAGATTATTTTGAAGGCAGTACATTTCCACCCTTGCAGAGGACAGAAGAAAAGGAAATACACTTAAATTACAGTGAAGAAGCAGGCGCAAATAAATTTACAATTAAATACCCTGACTCTAAGAGACTTAACATGTCTCTTAATGGAGACCGTGACTATTTTTCCCTGAAGAAGTTTAAAATAGAGTGCAAAGCTCCCAGATAGACAGGGCAACCCTCTCGGGCCCCCTCCCTCTTTGGGAGCTTTGCACTCTATCATTCAATAAGCTTTACTCTCACTCAGTAAACCTTGTTTTGCTGCCCCCCCAAAATAAAATATAAATAATAAAAATAAAACAGACATTATTGTTCTGTGTTGAATACATCTAATGAAAAGCAACTTGGAGACCCTAGATGTGCTGGTTAAGCTTTAACAATCTGCTCTCCTAAGAACAAAAATGCTCTGATTTGTAGCATTTGCCAGTTTCTGCAGTATAAGAACTCTCCCCATGGCCAATCTCGGGTTGCCACTGGAATGCCAATGACCGTGGACTTGGGAAGATATAGGCACCACTGGCTCTTGTGAAGGTCCGTCTGAGCTGACGGCAGCACATCACTGCAAGGATGAAGATAACTCAAAAACTCAGCCACATCTCCCTCCATCTCTGCCCAAGCTCTCTCACACCGCATTATGAAAGAACAGACTGCACGGACATACACCCATAGTGAGCTAGCCCAGCTACCTATGAGAGTTACAGTCTGATGTGGAGAAGAGCAGAGGTGAGAACGAGAAGGAATGTCTGTTTCTCCCTAATCAACAATTTTGAATTTTTCAAGATTTGTTATGGGGCTCTGGTATTGAAAATAGGTCATTGTGAATATCGATGGTGGCACTTTAGGATAAGACCTGCTGGGAAAACTACCCTCCTCCCTTCAGCCTTATTCTGAGGCAAGTGGGTGCATGTGGTGTTAGGAGGGTGCTCAAGGAGCTATTGTGATTTGGGGGTTTGTAAAATGTATCCAAGTTTCATCTGGGATGTTGCTTGATTCCCATGACAGAGAACAGATCAGAGAATCAGTTCTGCTACAGCATTTGTTTTGAAAATGTGAGTTTGTTGCATTGAGACAGATGTATTAGGGAACACTATGATCGTATTGCAAATTTTGTGTGTTCTTATGTACAATTTCATCCATAAGAAAAACCAGGTGAATTCAGAAAAGTGGACACAACCCAAGATAGGATTGCACAAAACGCACTCATACAAATACACACTTCAGACATCATCAGGGTCACTGCCTGTACTAACCTTCACCCATCTACATCTGGGGCTACAGCTCTCTGTCCTCTGGTAGCTCTCCTTCTAACGCCTCACAATCATTCAGAAGCTCCAACCCTTCCACCACCCAGCAACCTTCAAGTCTTTTTCTAGGAATTGTGCCACCTTAATGTAGTAAATGCATTTCTTAACAATTTAACACATAGAAAACCATGCTATTGTTTTTACTAATGTCTGTCTGTTTTTTTAATGAGTTATCACAGATAAGTTTTTGAGTTTGGTGTCCTTAACCCCATTTTCCCCATAAGCCAGGTGGTCTTTACTGTGCAATTCTGCCTCGTTCTCTGATTTTTAGAAGCACATATGTTGCATTATAAAAGAACTGACTGTGTCAATAAAACATCCTAAAATTCGGCCAGACAAATTTGTTCTTTCTTAATGTACACGTCTCCAAGAGCCTGTATGTCACGGCCAGAGGAAGAAAGGTAATCTGATGGGACAGTAGACAAACCTAAATGCTTGCCTCTTGCAAGAATCTATAATTCTTCTGAATAAGAGACCAAGGAAAACATAATCAAATTTTGGTCAAAAGCTTAATATGCAAATTTTGTTATTAATTTCTCTTGGGATTTACAAGACATTTAACCCTTACAATTGAATTATGGACATAGAAGATAATGAAGCTTCTGCTTATTATTATGTATGCATTCATTTCACTATACAAAACATAATTGGGATACAGAAAATGCTAATTACAGCTGTCTCTGTTTAGCCACCTTAATTTAATCTCATTTTCCCAGTGCGAAGAAACATGCATGCCTGCTTTGTGCTGCTTTCAACAGAGCAGGACATACCTTTTGTTTTATGACTTCGGGAAGATCAGTCACAGATTCTGCCCAGGAAGAATATCGCTGTTTGTTTCCAGCAGGATTGTCCAGCTCCAGGAAACTGAGGCCAGATATGAAGCCTGAACCTCCCCCCTTGACAAATGGGTCCCCTCGCAGCACGTTGCCCTGAGTTCCTACGCAAGGAGAAATCAAATCAAGTAAGTCAGGATTCACAAATGAAACAAAAAGGAGAATATAAAAGTGAAAAGTCTATCAAGCACTAAAACACAACCCATCCAACTTTATGACGTTCGGGAAAAGGAAGAACTATAGCGACAGTAAAAAGATCAGTGATTGTCAGCAGTGGTGGGTGGGAGGAATAAATAGGTGGAGCACGGAGGATTTTTAGAGCAGTGAAAATGCGCTGTATGATCCTATATGGTGGATACATAGCATTAGACATCCGTCCACACCCATAGAATGTACAACACCAAGGCTGAACTTGAACATAAACTATGAACCGTGGGTGATCATGATGTGTCAATGTAGGTTTATCAATTGGAACAAACATTCCACTGTGGTGGGGAATGCTGATTGTGGGGAGGCCTCAGTTTCTGACAGGAGTATATGGAAACTCTCTGTCATTTTTGCTCAATTGTGCTGTAAACCTAAAACTACTCTTTAAAAAAATGTCTATTAAAAGAAAAGAGAAGGCACACCTGGGTGGCTCAGTCGGTGGAGCGTCCAACTCTTGGTTCCGGCTGAGGTCATGATCTCAGCGTTGTGGGATCGAGCCCGGGATTAGGCTCTGTGCTCAGCGCAAAGTCGGCTCAGGATTCTCTGGCTCCCTCGCCCTCAGCCCCTCCCCCTGCTTGTGCATGCCCAGGAACACACATGCTCGTTCTCTCTCTCTCTCAAATAAATAAATAAAATCTTTTAAAAAATAAAATCTTAGGGGCACCTGGGTGGCTCAGTTGGTTAAGCGACTGCCTTCGGCTCAGGCCATGATCCTGGAGTCCTGGGATCGAGTCCCGCATCGGGCTCCCTGCTCGGCAGAGAGTCTGCTTCTCCCTCTGACCCTCTTCCCTCTTGTGCTCTCTATCTCTCATTCTCTCTCTCAAATAAATAAATAAAATCTTTAAAAATAAATAAATAAATAAAATCTTAAAAAAAAGAAAACCACAATCATTACCTGAAAGTAGATGATATTAGGGAATTATTGTTCATATTCTTAATGTTCTTGGTATAATAAGAGCCTTTACATTATATAGGAGACTGTATTCCTTCTTAGAAAATATATGCATAAATTTTGGGATGAAACATCATGAAATTTACTTCCAAATGGTTCAGGTAAGATTATAAATATTTTAAATATGTAATATTTATATATTGTTGAATAATCCACATTATAAATATTGTATGTCCATTATATACAACAAAATGTCATAATAATCATTACATAAAGGAGGTGGGTATATGGGTATTTATTACTATGTTCTTTCTGTTTGTTTGAAAATTTTCATAATAAAATGGGGGATGTTCATTGCAACTGGAATACTAACAATAAGCAAAAAAGCTATTAATTAACAGGCATACATTAACACATGAAAAGTGTTCTAAGCAGTGAATATTAATTGAATTCTTTTCCGCATTTATTTGCCCTAATATTTCAGAAAACTTTTTGTCTCCATTTGTGGTTGATTTTTACACTGGTCATGACTGGAAATTCCTACCTCGCAGACCAGATTTGGAGTAATTTTCAGTTCACTTCTTTTAACTAAATTTTGCAATTTCATAAAATTTTCATAAAAATTTTCAAATTCAAAAACTGTACATTTATCAGAAATTATTAAAGCCTGACGTTTTCAATAAATTACCAAGTACTTCCTCATCTTCATTGTTAGCTCCGTTTCTAATATGCAAACCGTCTCCCTTTGAAGGCAGCTCGTCACAACATCCAGTCCCTCCAGGACCTGACTCCAAACCACCTGGAGTGACTACACATTTCTGGGCTCCAAGATGTATGAGAGAACAGCTGGGAGGAAAGCCCTGGAATCAGCATTTTAACAAGCTTCCTCAGATTATCTCGGTGTGTACTAAAGTTGGAGAAATGGCAGGCTTCACTGGCAGATCTTTTTACAAATTACAGATTTTAAGAAATCAGTTTTAATTTTATTTTTAAGCCTGTAGCCTCTGTGTCCACACCTCAGTGAGCTCCCTGCTCCAGCTAGCCCTCTTCCCCTAGACAATCAGCCTGGTGTGACAATGAGGAGCCCAGACTGTGAAGCCAAATGTCATGCCCTTGAATCTCATGTCTGACGCTTACCAACCGCGATCTTGGGCAACCTTCCTGTGACTCAGTGTCACTGTCTGTATTATGGGAATATGAATAATACTTAACTCTTAGATAGGAAGAATATATTGGCTAATTTTTGTAAATCACTTAAAAGTGTGCTGGGCACATAGTAAACACTATGTGTTTGTTAAACACAAAATAAAATCAAATCAGTGAGCAGCTTCCAGTAGCTCATGTCACTGAGCTTCCCAAAGCTCCCGCTCTCATTTCGATTTCCAGATCACTATATTTCCCTTTCTTTCAAAAACCTATCCTCCTTTGTCATGTCAGCTCCATGAAGACAGGCATTCTCTTGGGCATGTCACTGCTTCTACCCCAATGCCTAGAACAAATCCCACCGTATACCCCAGGCCCCAGAAACAGCTGATGAATGAAGGAGGTGAATGAGTAAATAAACCTGGTTTCACTCCTCTGTCTCCCTCCTTCCTGCAGTCATCTGCCAATATCCCGAGAATCCCCACTTCCTCGGTAAGAACTCTGACACCTGGGTCAGTCTTCACCTTTGCCCCAATTTCTGCCATCACCCTGGGAGAACTTAAGCTCTAGTACCACTCAGTCCATTGCTACCACACTAAGAATCTCTTCATCGTAAGGCCGGTGAAGAGTCAGTCTCCAGTCCGTCTCTTACTTAGCTTCTCTCTAGAATTTGTCTCTGTTTATCTCTCCTTCTCCTTTACTTTTAATGTTACTGATCTTTTCAGGTTCATTATTTTCCCCGTTTTTCTTAATTTTTTTCTTCTTCTTTTTTTTTTTTTTAAGTAGGCTCTATGCCCAACGTGGGGCTCAAACTCAATGACCCTGAAATCAAGAGTCACATGTTCTACCGACTGAGCCAGCCAGGCACCTCTTTTCTGGTTCTTATCCTATCCGTTTAACCTTTCTCAGTCCCTCTTCTTTCTCTACAATGTTCTTTGTAATCTTTCATTTAGTCAATCCCTGTATTAAATCCTTTAACGGCACCCCTTGTCATCAGAATGAAATCCCAATTCCTTAACGTGGCATCTAGACACAATCTAAATCAGTTTATTTTTCCAGTTCCTTTTTCAATCACTCAAAGAATAGCACAGCGCCTTCCCCACTCCCTCTCCCACCACCACCAGCACCAGCAGCAGCAGCAGCATGCACCAAAAAGTGCGCTGAGCATCCATGTCAGAGTGGGACTGAATCTTCTCCCGCTGGTGTCCTTTTTCTAAGCTTGATTGCCAGCAGTCATCGTAGGGGACAAAGGTAGGATACACTGAGAACACAATTGCAGTGCACAGAGATAACCAATGAACTTCCCACTCTGCCTGATGTCTCATTGCCACGACATACGCAAGAGAGATCAGAGGCAAACATAAACAAATACATAAAAAACATAAAATAGAACACCTGTTCAAATCTCAAAGGCTCTTGGAAGCCAGGAATTAGCCACAAGAGAGAGGGATGGAGATTAAGCTCGTAAAGCAAATTGCCCCTTTCTTATTTACCTGAGTCTGATTTTAAGGCCTCTTCCAGCTTTTGGCATTTGTCCTTCAGTGATGTAAAGAAAAGTTTGGACCTTGAGGAAGTACATCTCTTCATATCTGCTGAACTAAGACCTGAGGGAAAAGTTGTAAAGGTGATTAATTTTTGCATTTGTTAAAAACTCCTTTTGAGATGCAGCCAGGTGTGAGAATGGGGATAAGAGGTTATGTCCTACTATTGAGCTCAAGAGCTCTAGAACGGTCAAGGGTCAGAAAAAGGAATATCTGATTTTTGTTATTAAACAAAATAATAATATATGTATATATCTAGGAATGAAGCATCATGTGTCTGAAACTCACTTTCAAATGCAAATTTTGGCTCCTATCAGCTTTGACCAGAAAGGGGAGAAGATTGGGGTGATTTCTACATGAAACAGTGGAAGGAACAGAAACTGAACACCCCAAAGAGCGATATCTTTGGCCCATCCACCGTCAGCTGCTCAGGCATACAGCAAATCAATAAAAGTAGGCATGTAATCGTCCCCATCCGCGTACTGGAAACCCCAAATTGGGTTCTGGTTCTACAGTAATTAATTCCTAAAACCCTAGGTCTACTGCCTCAGTCTCTCTATTTTAATATCTTTACCATCTCTGGTTTCCAACATTTCCTTCTCATGACTCATAACCTTAGAATGTAACAATTTCTACTTATTATCAAATAGAGTTTTGCCAATGCATTTTTTAAGAAGGATAGAAAATAATAAAGTATGGAAATATATTTTTCTCATATAATTTTGCTAACTCTACTATAATAACCTCAGTATTTCTTAAAGAACAATTGGGGGGCATATATTATTATAACTCGGCAGTTTTGATTATATTGCAATTAGGACTTTTAGGAAGAACAGAAACTGCTCAAGAGTAAAATTTTTACTCAAAAAAATACTTTGACCAACTTGGAAAGCTTTAAAAAGTTCCCTCCATTTCTTTTAAATACTAAGGAAACGGGGGGGGGGGTGGGGAACAGTGAAACGGAATTTAGGTTAAGCCATTGCTGGACTAATTTTCCAAAGAAACGTTGCCTTTGTTGTTGCTACAAAAAACAAAAACAAAACAAACAAACAAAAAACCTGTGCTTGTACATTCATTTCTAACCAGGGAATTTAGAAAAGTTCAAATTCTGGCTAAATCTTAATTGGTAAAAAAAAAATAAGGCAATGGAAACATAGAAAAACATTGTAGTTCACCCACAAGGGAAGGTTACAAGATCTCCTCTGAATCTCATGTAATAAGTCTTAACTCTCCTCCACGGTTGTAAAGACGCTTGACTGAAGAGAAAGATCATGAAGAGGTGATTTGGATGGAGAAGGATTTGTGGATATCAGCTTAACAAAGTTGGGAAGGAGCAGGTTTGACTTGGAATATTAGTAAACCAGAGCCAAAAGGTCTTTGGAGACAAGGAATGGACACTGAGACATCACCCTCTCCCCTCCCACACTGGGACACGTGGCGAGGATTCTCCTCTAATTATGAGGTCAAAAAAATCATAAACTCAGTGGTGTGCACCAATTCTAACAAAAATCAGGCAATTCTAGCAACAACATAGCGTAAGGAAAAAGCTCAGCTGACTTAGACCTCCTTGCAATCTATATGCCCTAGGATGAATCTTATCATAGCACTGAGTCTCCATTTCTCAGTCTGTAAGACAGGAATTGTAGTGGCCCCCTCACTGGGTAGTAGTGAGGATCATTGCTAACGTATGTGACTTGCCTGTTGTAAGAAAGGCATCTGATAAATTTAAGCTATTGTTACAAGACTTATGTAGTAAGCCAACTTGTGATATCCAGAGATTTTCTTAAAGGAATGTGAGTGGTAATAACAGAGGTAAACAAAATACTTCTTTAAAACATTTTGATTTCGGAAATATAATTCCTCATTAGCTTTTCCTTGAAGAATACTACCTAAACTGAGAAATGGAAAAGGTTAAAAAGTATTCCAAAAACCCAGTCAACACCCTCTGAGGATAGCCAATGATGATGACTATCTCACATTTCAGGGTACTATCCCAAAGAGTAGGCTGGCTTTTCTTAGAGCCTAAAAATTTTGAGTAGAATATAATGGATTCTTGCCATTTTGGATTCCTTTGCAATTTAATCTCTATTTGTCATATTTTAAAGCTCTGAAAGTTTAAGCTAACTACATGTTATTTCCCCCATTAAAATTCCTACAATGCTTGTATTTAATAATTTTTTAATACTTTACCACTGTTTTTGATTTTTTCTGAGTCCACATAAAATAGAACTTTGTACTCTCCTCCTAGGGACCCAGACTGCAGATAATGTGTCCCATACTGGTCGATTAATCTTCGGTAGGCACTGTAGTCATAGAGAGCGGGAAGGAAGGAGAGTTCCTTCCAGAATGGCTCAGCAAGTTGTAAAAATTCCGGATTGTTGTTGACAAACTGAGCCACTTCCACGGTGTTCTGGACAACCAACAAATGATGACTCTATGGAAAGAAGAGAGCATAAAAAGAGTTTTAGTTTGGTGATAAAAAGGCAGTGGAATTAGTTTGCTGTCCAATGTCTCCATCAGCTGCCACCTCCAACCAGACTATATGAATTTCTATTTTTGATGCATGATGAGGTTTTTTCTGGGCCCACTCACTTGAAGCAGTCTATGGAATTTTTGGAATCCCAAATAGGAATAATATCTGTGATAACATGGTAATTTCTTGCATATATGACATTTAAAATCTCAAAACCAAGTAGTTATGCCCTCCTCAACTAGAAAAAAGAGAATCAGCTTCGTTAACTGCTAAACAATCTCACAAATAAATATGTAAAATAGTATGTCCCTAGGGTGTACACAATGACTTATAGGTAAGGTGACCATATAACTTATATTCCATACTGGGGTCCCTCATTTCATAATGAGGGGTTTTTCTATTTTAATGTCATGAACCTACAGTGCTGTATTAGTTGCAGGTGTACAATAGAGTGAACCACCAATTCCATACATCACCCAGTCCTCATCACAACAAATGCACGTCTTCATCCCCACCCCTATTTCACCCATCCCTCCACCCACCTCCCCTCTGGTAATCACCAGTTTGTTCTCTATAATTAAGAGTCTGCTTTTTGGTTTGTCTCTTTTTTGTTGTTGTTCATTCATTTTCTTAATTCTACACATGAGTGAAATCATATGGCATTTGTGTTTCTCTGACTTATTTCATTTAACATCATACTCTCTGGATCTATCCATGTTGTTGCAAATGGCAACATTTCATTCTTCTTTCTGGCTGAGTAATATTCCATTGTATAAATATGCCACATCTTCTGTACCCATTTGTCTATCAATAGACACTTGGGCTGCTTCCATAATTCGGCTATTGTAAATAATGCTGCCATAAACATAGGGGCATCTCTCTTTTTGGATTAGTGTTTGTATTCTTTGGGTAAGTACCCAGTAGTGGATACAATGAGGTCTTTGAACACTTCCTAAGCATCTTGTAATGATGTCCAAGACAGATCATGAATAAATAAATAAAATTTAAAAAAAAAAGACACATCTACCTTAAACCAAATCTTCACTTCTGTGAACAATGTAGTATAAAAATAATAAATGTTTATACAACTCCTATCTCCACAGTCAGCTTCTTAGTCATAAAACAAGCAAAACCACTATTCCTTTATACTTCCTGTGATTTATTAATCAAGTTACTGACTTCAAGAATGAGATAAAATATGCAGATTTAGAACGATGGTCAGCCTGAAAACTTCTTCAGCAGTAGGTGTACATCAGCCAGTGCAATCTATCACAACTGTTCAGCTTGCCCAAGATAAAAGTTTTAGTATCTCAAAACAACAAAGTATCTAAAAATAAGGCTTTTAACTTCCTCAGACAAAAATTTGGGTATTTCAAAAGTAATAAAGCGTTCCAAAATCTTTTAGTTTTATGCACCTTCTAAGTGTTAGTGTTTAGGAAGCACATACTAATTGGATTTGTTAAATTGTATATAACATTTATATAACCATGTATAATAATCATGAATTAGAAATTTAAGAAAATTTTAACTAGTAGATTTGAAAGTAACGTTTTTTTAAGATTTTCAAATAAGAACAAATACTTTAATAAGAAAATAAAAAGTATAGGGGCACATGGGTGGCTCAGGTGGTTAAGCATCTGCCTTCGGCTCAGGTCATGATCCCAGGGTCCTGGGATCGAGTCCCACATTGGGCTCCCTGCTCGGTGGGGAGCCTGCTTCTCCCTCTCCCTCTGCCTACAGCTCACTCTCTCTCTCTCTCTCTCTGTCAAATAAATAAATAAATCTTAAAGGAAAAGTATAAAGGTGCCTGGCTGGTTCAGTCAGTGGAGCACATAACTCTTAATCTCAGGGTCCTGAGTTAGAGCTCCACATTGGGTATGGAGCCTACTTAAAAAAAAGAAGAAGAAAGAAAAAGAAAATAAAAAGTATAAATAAATATATTATCCAAGAGAACTAACAAGACACAATCTTACCTTTTAAAGAATATATTACATTGTCTCTTTGAAGAAGATACTATTACCCTAATTTAAAAAAGAAAGCTGATCTGTTTGGTAAATACACTTTTGTTAATGTTAGAAATATTTAAGCAGTAAAATATGGAAAAGTCAACTAATATTTCATACTAACCTTTTTCTTGTGGATTTCATTGGTATGTGAAGTATAAGTAGTTGAAGAAGATGATGAAGATCTTAAAAAGGAGCTTTTCCTACTAGATGATGTATGTTCTGCCGAGGTAAGCTTTACATAAGACCAGCTACTGTTGTAAAATTCATAATTAAAATCATTATTTATTTTCACCTATAAAGAAAATGAAAAATTTTGCTGTGACCAAATTAAGGCCTTGGATATAACCAAAAATCTTTTGCCATGGATCCTTTAACGTGGATATTTTCTTCAAACAGTCTTCTCCAAAAAGACAAAGCTCTTCATTGACACAAAATGACTGTGGCTCTCAATACAACCAGGCCCATCTGAGTATAAGGAATAGAGTCCAGTCTACAATTACTCTTAGTTAAGAAGGAGACATGGTGTCAATAATGGCAATTCCAAGTGATTCACAGAACACATCTGTGTGCAAACATCTCCCACTTTCTTTTAATGTCAACAGTTAACCCAGAAGTCAGCAAATCAACAGAATTACACAGAGAACTGGAAAGCCCTTGGTTCTTGATTTTTCAGCTAAAAGAGGGGAACAGAGATGCAACTTTTTTCCTTATGAGCGAGGGTAGAAGAAAAGGCCATCCCAAAGGAATTTTGAGGCAGACAACAGGATAGTCACAGGTGGCTAACACGGAAGTGAGAGCCCCAGCACTGACAAAGAAGACAATCATTTATTTATCCCTTATTTTATCCTAGATCAAGTGTCAAAATAAAATGCCCATGGGGGCTAGCACATAATATAAATGTTGGAGGCATCCCGTGGAAGGCAGGGTGATGAAGTGAACACACACACTGTCGAAAAGGGACACCAACACTCAAATCCATCATACAGTTACCATATGTAACTACAAGTTCTAGCATGGACAGATTATGTGTTTTCAAGAAAAGAGAAAAATCTGAAATCTTGACACAAAGCTCTCCAGACTTTTTTTAAATTGTAGGCAATTAAATTGCTAAAAAGTGTCAAGCACCATGAAAATAAAACAAGGCGCGCGAGCTCACTCCCTCTCACAGTGTCTGCTCTGCTTAAATAGTCAAATCAGTAACTGTCCTTCCACAAGCATTTGTGTTCTTAGCATATAGCCATACACATCTGTGTTTGAGATCAAAGTATAAATAAGCACAGGGAACATTAAAATGATGGATATGATACACTTTAAACACAAACCTAAGAGGAATGAAAACAACAGAATACCATGTAGCCATTTTAAATGATGCCTATGAAGAAAAATATTCATGTTAAATGAGAAAGTGGGTATAAATGTAATAATCCTGTTCACTACAACCATACAAGTATATTCCCCAGTCAAAAAAAGACTAGAAAGAAATTCAGGGGCGCCTGGGTGGCTCAGTCAGTTGAGTGTCCGACTCTTGATCTCAGCTCAGGTCATGGTCTCAGAGTTGTGAGTTCAAGCCCCACATTGGGCTCCATGCTGGGCATGGAGCCTATTTTTAAAAAAAGAAGAAGAAAAGAAAAGGCTAGAAAAAGTTCATCAAAATGCCAGAAAATATTGTATTACTTTTATCACTGCCCATGTTCAAAATTATGCATGCATGCTAAGAACATGCCAGAAGACAAGAAAAGATAGATTTATTCATATCTTTTGTTAGAGCATTATTTTCATTACATTATGAAATTGGTTTGTTTAAAAGTCAAAGGCAAAAATTCAGCTCAGACTGAGACGGAGAATATATGTATTATTATTGACTAGAAAGAGGACATTAATAAGAATGCCATCAGAGATTTCTGCAACCACTAGATACTGTTTCAGTCCTATTTGGTTTTAGATAGACACAAATTTACTTTTTATCTCTCTTAAGAAAGAGAAGTTATCTATCTTCCTTTTAATGCAAGAAAAACAAGCCTATTTTCCCTCATCTTCAAATCTGCAATTCAAGTACTTGATTAACGCAAATAAGCCTCTTTAGCGGCTTTAGTTCAGCATCTCCTCACTCCCATCTACTCTACACAAGAGCTGCAAGAGTCATCTTTTTCAAGGTAATGTGATCTTCTTAAATGACCCTTAATTAATACTCTCTCCATCCAACTTAGACTCACCCAGACTGATCGCTCCTCTGAAATCACAAATTCAAACATCCTACATCCTGCCACCTCTTACTCGTTTGACTCTCTTTCAATTATCACCAGAGCCATTATTCAACTTTACAGACACAAGTTCCTCTACTTGGTTTCCCTTCTCTCCTTTTATTAGCACCTTCATTTTTTTCACTTCCTTCCTTTTCAGATAGACCTCATGGTTCCTGACTTCAACCAGTCTCTCACCAATGACCTTAACTCCCTTGCCTAGATATGCTCTGCCATCATGTTTGCCTGGCAGAATTCCAGCCCTGGTTCAATGCTTGCAGCCAAGCTGCTTAGCACTATGATAGAAAAATCACACAGCTAACCGATCAGTACTGCTGTAAGTCCACTCATGATTTCCAGTCTCAGGGGAACCTTCAAAGCAGTGCAGCAGCCCTGTATTTCCATTCTCTTTCTCTCCCATTCTCTGCAGTGTCTGTTTCAAAAGTTCTGCAGGTACCTCAGTCCTGCAATCTTAGAACCACTTCCCTCACTCTCAGAAAATGACCTTAACCTCTTTCTTTCAAACATTCCCATTATCAGACATGAGAACTCCTAAACTTCTGGCTAACAAATCCACAAACATATTTACATTTCTTCACTTCCTTTCCTCCGCAGGTGTCCTTCCTCCATCTAAAGCAAATTTCTGTCTCATCTCTATTGCATTCTCTCCCACCACTTCTAAGGATTTATTAAATCGATTGCTTACTCCCTCTTCCACAGCTTCAATTTTTTATTCTCTACTGGCTCATTCCTATCAAATGTATGTATATTCTAACCCCACCTAAGTAGAGTGTGCTGCAAGGGCTCTGCAGACACACTTCTTGGGTTCAGATTCCATATTTGTTATCTATTAACTCTATGACTGTGGGTAAACTCTTCAGCATTCTTTGTCTCGAGTTCCCTCAACTGTAAAATAGAAATGACAGTACCCACATTTTTAGATTATTACAAAGAAAAGAAGGGGGCGCCTGGGTGGCTCAGTTGGTCAAGCGTCTGCCTTCGGCTCAGGTCATGATCCCGGGGTCCTGGGATCGAGTCCTGCATCAGTCTCCCTGCTCCGCTGGGAGCCTGCTTCTCCCTCTCCCTCTGCTCCTCCCCCTGCTGTGCTCTCTCACCCTCTCTCTCTGTCAAATAAATAAATAAATTCTTTTTTAAAAAAGAAAGGAAAAGAAAAGAAAAGAAGATCGGGGTGCCTGGGTGGCTCAGTCGGCTAAGTGTCCAACTCTTAATTTCAGCTCAGGTCCTGATCTCAGGGTGGTGGGATCAAGCCCTGCACTGGGCTCCATGCTCAGCAGGGAATCTACTTGAGATTCTCTCCCTCTCTCGCTGCCCTTCCCCCGCCCCCGCTTGTGCTCTCTCTCTCTTTCTCTCTAAAATAAATAAATAAGTATTTTTAAAAAGAATATGATTTTGTTATTTACTTGATATGCACATAGGATCTCTTTTCCAAAAATATAATGAAATACATTCAAGACTAAATACAGGAGGATCCAGGAAGTAATTCATTTTCTCCACCTTCATCTTTACTCCCCTCTGCAACTCATTCCAAGTTGACAATGAACACAACAGTCTTTCAACATTCTCCAGACTGAACTAGCAAAGTAGTACCTTCCCAAAGTGGCCATGGAGGAGGAATGTGTTTCTGTGTCCAAGGGTTCCTTGTGGTATGAAAAATATTAGCAAACAGAGAAAGTGCATGGCATCAAAGATAATGGCTTAGTCAACAAGAAACCAGGTTTGCCCTGGATAAACTACACTACTGATAACTGAAACAGAGATTATAAGATGGACTGACTGATTATGTTACATGTTTATTTATTAATATTTATGTGCCAACAAGCCAAAAGCCATCTTCCACTCAGAAGAGCTGAATGCCCAGTGGCCTCAGGTCTATCTGAGCTGTGGAGAGCATTTACTATCCCAGTCTCCACATTGGGTTAGCTCTTCAATGGCTGACTCACTGCCTATTGCTTCCATAACCCTAACCCTAACCCTAACCCTCACTTCCCTCAGGTTGGATCATCAAAACATATCCATTCTTCACTCAGTAACAGGTTATAACTTCCTTATGCCTCTGACAAACACCTTCAAATTCAGGGACAGGAAAGGCATTTCAGATGTCAATGCAAAATCCAAGCCATGCTGAGGGAAATGAACGTCAGCATTATGCTGTTATTAAATTATTTCTCTTCTTCAGAAGCTGCAAACTTCCAGCATGTCTGTCTTCCAACAATGTCAGAAATTCTCTCATGATTTTCTCTGCTCTGTAACTCTCTAAATTTGACCCAAAATATATATATACAATTATCTCTTTTATAATTATGAAAGAATTATCAACACATCCTCCTAGGAAGAGGAGAAAAAAAAATATTTCTACATATGCCTATGTTACATTCTCCCTCCAGCCAATGGTTACATCACAGTACATATTATTCACCATGTAAAATTTAGAGTTGAGAAAGCAATTAAATACAAGATATTGGGAGAGTGAAATATACTAGAAAAAGAAAAGGCTGTGAAATCTGACAAATAGGACCCAAGCTCTACTACTTATTAATTTGGTGATTTAGAGCAAGTCAGCTGAAGTCCTCTGAGCCTCAATTTCTACATATATAAAATAGTAAAATATTACTTACCTTCCAAAGATATTATAAGGATTAAACATATACAAACTGCCTAAAACAGTACAGATGCCACAGGAGATATTCAAAAATTGGCAGCTACCATTATTTTTTCAGATCAATTTCACTTTCCATTTCCATGATACAGTAATTTTTTAAAAGATTTGTTTATTTGGGGCGACTGGGTGGCTCAGTCGTTAAGCATCTGCCTTAGGCTCAGGTCATGATCCCAGGGTCCTGGGATCGAGCCCCGCATCGGGCTCCCTGCTTAGCGGGAAGCCTGTTTCTCCCTCTCCCACTCCCCCTGCTTGTGTTCCCTCTCTTGCTGTCTCTCTCTGTCAAATAAATAAATAAAATCTTTTAAAAAAAGATTTATTTATTTAAGAGAGAGAGAGCGAGAGATCAAGGGAGGGGTAGAGAGAGAGAGAGACAGAATCTCAAGCAGACTCCTCGCTGAGCACAGAGCCCAACACAGGGCTCGATCTCATGACCCATGAAATCATGACCTGAGCCAAAGTCAAGAGTCAGATGCTCAACCGACTAAGCCGCCCAGGTGCCCCCATGATACAGTAGTTCGTAAATGTAATTTATTCTATTGTAAGTCAGAGGAGGATGCTGTTTGCTATTTATAATTAAAACTGCATTCTGAAGAGGGTTAAGTTTGGTAAACAAAAAGCCTTTCTGTCTGAACATCCTAATAGTTTTGGTTTACAAATTTGGGAGTAATAGGTAAGAAGCACTGAATTAGAAATTTTCAGAATTCTGGGAAGAAGAGAGGAAAGGAGTGAAAGAGGAGGTCTTGGCAGAAGAGAACAAGAGGCTGAAATGGGATGAGACCAGAAACTTTGATTTGTTGAGGTTCCAGAAGGACCAGATGTTTTGTGATGTAGGATGTCAACCGTTTTTGTTGAATGCGTTGGCATGACTGCAACAGAAAATCTCTCCTCTATATTCCCTTCATCTGCTCAGGATTCTCCCCCTAAAACCATAACTGTTTCTGTGTGAATGGATTTTGTGTGGAAATCCTGGAACAGAACGAGTTTAGGTGTATATGACAGAAACAGCTTACAAGAAGCAGAAGCCTGGAACGGAGTCCCTGAGACCCTAAGCCAAATGGAAAATTCTGGCAATGCAGACGTTGGTAAGGATAGGGAGCACAGCCCCTCCCCCTACCACACTGCTGATCGTATATAAATTGATGGCACATCCATTTTGGAAACTTTACTGAGCAGAGTGTAACCTATACATAACCTGTGAGGCAGCAATTCAAGTGCCCTAGAGAAACTCTAGCTCATTTGCATGGAACTCATGCACAAGAATGTGCAAGGCATTTTCATAAGAAAAAAAATGGAACCAGCAATAAAAATGTCATCTACATCAGCATAAATAAATTTCAAACCCATAATTTTGAGTAAAAAAAAAAAAAAGTCATAGAATATATACTATAGGATTTACTTATGTAAGTAGCCAAAAAACAGGCACAAATAATCGTAAGTTTTTATTTAGGGACAAAGACATATGAGATAAACGTATACGGAAAGACAAAGAAGTGATTAATACAAAACAGAAGATAGTGGTTGTGTAGGGAGTGGGGGTGGGGAGGACGTGGCCAGAGAGAGGTAGATGAGAGCATTTAAGTCAGTCTTTGGCAATATTCTATTTCTTAAGGTGGGTGGTGGGCATATATGAGTATTTGTTTTATTAGTTTTCTTCAAACTGTATGTTTATATTAGTCACACTCTTTTGTATATATGAAATATTTCACAATTTAAAAACAAAAGCATTTTTAAGTGAGCCGACACTGTGGCAGTGGTAGAGATTATTACAACCAGTCATGACCAGAGCCTTGAGTTTTGACACCCACACAGGGACAGACCATCCAGTCTGGGGCCCATGTCGTCCATGGACTTGAAAATGAGACGAAAGAATAGTTCAGCTTAAATGAGACAAATTTAAAGTATCATTGCCCTGTACCCCAGAGTTAAAGAATATGTATCCTTTTTAAACCCATATAAAACATTTGTTTAAGCCAAATATTAAGTCACAAATAAATTCTCAACAAATACCAAATATTAAGCCACAAATAAATTCTCAACAAATACCAAAAAATCAATATCATATAAGTAATGATCTCTGGCAATAATTCACATGTTAAAAATAAATTATATCAATGAAATTAAGTACCTGGAATGTATACGAAAGGATATTTCCACTCAGTCTATAGAAATCTTTTCCATCCCCACTAAACACTTTTCTGCATTGACCACCAAAACTTTTAGTGTTGATGACTCTCTTCCTAAACTGGCCAGTGAGTTCATTGTAACTGTTTAAAAAAAAAAAAAAAGGAAGGAAGGAAGAAAAGATGATTAAAAACCAGAAACAGCACTTGCTGAAAAAGGAATTCTAGAAAATCTTGAAATATATTAAAGAGTTAAGCATCTCTTCAAAAGAGCTCAAATAAAGAGAGCAGTATCCTAAAGCACACCATACCACTATCCAACCTCCCCTGGGTGGTATAATAGCTAAAACTAATAGCTGGGGAAATCCAACATCCCTTCAGCCTAAGAACATGTTTGGGAAACACACAGCCCTTTTGTATCTATAGCAAAAGCTGGTTTTGAGTTGAATCTATAGATAAAATCAATACAATTAAGATTACTCTTGAGGAGAGGGAACTTTCTTTTCTTTTTTTTTTAAGATTTTACTTATTTGACAGAAAGAGAGCGAGCACAAGCAGCGGGGGCAACAGGCAGAGGGAGAAGCAGGCTCCCCACTGAGCAAAGAGCCCGATGCGGGCCTCGATCCAAGGACCCTGGGATCATGACCTGAGCCGAAGGCAGACGCTTAACCAACTGAGCCACCAAGGTGCCCCGAAAGGGAAATTTCTACAAGGAATTTCAACTAAATTGCCTCTTAGCATACTGAATGATATACCTTTTAGAGTAATTCTACCATTTCTCTGTTAATGAATTTTAAAATATTATAGAAAAACCACCTCATCATTCCAAAATAGACTATTTTAAAGCCTTGAAATCTCAACTTGGATCTGACCCTTAAAAGTTCTTCAGAATTCTTTTTGAAAAGACAAACATGGGATTGTCCCAACTTCACTTGAAAATGAAAGTTTCCAGCTGGTTAGACAATTACTTTTCAAGCCTAAATATTCCAACACACCACTTTCTCTCTTCTTTCTCTGTTCTTTTTCTATTATCTCTTCATTCTCTTAAGTAGCTCCCCATCATTGTCACTGAACCAGTTCTCCCTCTGTCTCTCTATTTCTGCCTCTCTCCCAGAAGGTGACCAACATCCAGGTTTTCCCAAGTCTGAGGGGTTTGCCTGGACATAGGATTTCCAGTGCTAAAAGCAGGATAGTCCAGGGACAATTGGACACCACATTTACCACATATATTTTCAGGTATACAGGTATGAATTAAAAGTTCTGGGGCACCTGGCTGGCTCAGTCGGGGAGCGTGCAACTCAATCTCGGGGTTGTGAGTTAGAGCCCTACACTGGGGGTAGAAAATAAATAAACAAAACTTCAAAAAATTTTGTTTTAAATGTTTTAGGATGTGGCAAAGAGCTCTGAGCCAAGAGCTTAGCTATTATGATTTGTTATTAGATTTATCAAACCATAAAATAAAAACAAAACGAAAAGCTACAACCCGTCCATATGCACAGGAAGCTGCCCAATACCTTACCCATTTCCAGTAAGTTCTATGTTGGGAGGAGGTTTATCAAGGTCACAGGAAGGTCTGGTCTCTGAGTCCTCGCATCTGTCTTCATCAGCGCTGTCCTCTTCACAGTCAGAATCCCCATTGCAAACCAAAGATTTGCTGATGCACTGGCCTACACACAAGATAAGCCCCCACACAAAATAAAAGAGGGAAGAAGGCAAAAACTACCTGGGATCAAAAAAGTTTTACCTCAGGGGTGCCTGGGTGGTTCAGTAGGTTGAGCTTTGACTCTTGGCTTCAGCTCAGGTTCTGATCTCAGGGTCATGAGTTCGAGCCCCGTGTGGGGCTCCGTGCTCAGCAGGGAGTCTTCTTGAAGATTCTCTCCCTCTCCCTCTGCCCCCCCAATTCATGATTGCTCTTTCTAAAATAAATAAATAAATCTTAAAAAAAAAAGGTTTTGCCCCGACCCCCAACATTGCATTAATATTTTACTGTGAATTTGAGATCAATTTTCAAGGTGTCCAGGAAAGGCCTGGTGATTATTTTGGCCCTCATATTCTAACACACAAAATTGATTCCGACCTCAGCTGGAAACAAAATTGAAAATAAAAGCTGAATTCAAATTCCAGCCTTCCACCCATAATTAAGCCGTTTGTCTGAATCTTCCTAAAATCAAAAGGCGCCAACCACTGGGAAGATAGATTGACATCCTGCCCATCAACTTTCAGTTTATTTTTTTGTAATCACTGACCAAGATGCCAAAGCTCTGCTTTTGTGTGTGTGTGTGTGTGTGTGTGTGTGTGTGTGTGTGTGTGTGATTTGATGTGTAAGCTTTTGAGAGCATGGAAACTGGATCAAAAGTTTAAAATTCCACATTTCTTTAGCACCTACTCTGGGCAAGGCACTCTTCCAGATGTTAGGGTACAAATATAAATAAAAATGGTATGTTGGACTTTTCATATACTTTACAATCTAGTAGGAAGGACTATGAAGACATAGATCATTTTAATCCCACAATGTAATTGTTCTGATAGATCCACATCCCAGGTACCAAGGAGGCACTGAAGGGCACCAGATGATCTGACCCTTGCCTACCTCCCCAGCATCATCTGCAGCCATCCTCCTACCTGCTTCCTATCCCCTCATCACACCTACACGAATAAAAGGCCAGGCTTTCTGTCATCTCCACTGATCTTGCACTTATACTTCTCTCAGCCTAGAAGGGTTTCTCTACCTGTCACATACTTGTCCCTCAAAAATCAAATTAAATATTATCTCCATCCCTACACCACAGGCTATAATACAAGTCCTTCGTTTATGTCCTCAGAGTATGTATTGCACACAACTGTTCTGATGGTAAAGCATGCACCCCACTGGGGTCTCACTCAATCCAATGCAAAGAACATTTGTTGAGAGTCTACTATGTACCAGGTAGTTCAGATGCAAAAATTAAAGGAATATTATCCATATCCTCAAGGAGTTCACAAGAGAGATAACCAGGCCAACAGATAACTCCAGATTATAGATGGTACAATGTACATAGGGAACACAGAGAAGTGATTTGTTAGTTATCTCTATCAGTTTAGGAGTTAAAGAATGCTTCCTAAAAGATGAGTCATCTGATTTTGGTTTTGAAAGTAAACTAGGAACTCAACAGGCATTGTGGAGGAGCACTTCTAACACAGGGATTATTTATGTACTATTCTCCCCATAAACTTTAATATTCATGAAAGAAGAGGCTATGTGTTTCATTTACATATCCACAATCCTCACCACTATATCTGGAGCCTAATAAGAATAACAGATATTTGCTAAAGGTTGTTGAATTAATCTGACTGCTCAAACGTTACCTAAACAATAGGTCAAAAAATACTCAGTGCCCAAACTTGAAATTAGGTTTCAATCACCCTGTGCATAGGAGTGACCTGTATTGCTTCTTGATTAGGTAATCAGAGTTGCTTTTTTTGTGAACATAATAATAATTTGGGCAGTAACATTTTTTTCCCCAATCTTGATGTACCAGACTCACTCTGCATCTTCACCAAAAATGCAATGTCAAGAGCTGTTTGGGTCTGTCAATAGTCATATTTCTTTTCAAAGAAGCAAGGAGTATCTCCTCCTTTATTACCAGATGAAATAATGATATTGCATTTGAAATAATGATAGCTGAGTGTATAATTAATATGCCAATAAAATCAATTCTTAGGCTAATATAAATTCAGTAAAATTGAACAAATACATGCTGAGCAAGTTAATCAAATAGCATTTGAATTTACACTCTGCATGGAATGTCCAAGCCAGTGGAAAACAGATACCTGAGAAACACCTGAACCGCTCTCCACATCCCTCTTCTGTCGGACATCCTAGTGTAGATTCACACGATTGCGTTTCAGATGCACTTCCAACGCAAGGATGGCCCCCATACTGCCCATAAACAGCAACTGACCGCCTGCGAGTCTAAACACAAAACAGGTAGTGCTTTTTGACATCTCCTTTCCTTTATCTGAGAAACAAAATCTAAGATAAATTAATACAACTGAAGAATCAGTGTTCAGGAAATTGTTCTGGGGGGCAGATGTAAAACCTCCTAGTCCAAAGATGAAGCTACCTCTGCAATGGAATTCTACTAGACAATCAGAATCAAGGGCCTCTGAAATGGGAAATATGTCAAAGGCAAATCTCTGGGAAAGAAAGTATGGGAAAAATAGAGGAATTCATCAAGCCACTTGAGAAACAAATAATTCATCCTAAAATTCACTTAATCAATATGAAGACATGTACCTAATATTTAAACAAAAAGAGGTCCACAAAATCCTTTTCCTTCCCAACAGCCACCAAATGCATCGTGTAAGCCCCTTTCTCTACTCACCTTTTCCCTATTAAAAATAATAAACAAAATCTGACCTTCCAGAGAATTTAAGCCTTGAGCAAAGACCAACAAGGAAGACAGGATATACAAACTGATGTGGGGCCAGGAGTAGAACAGTTAAGAAAGAATTCTTGAGATGTTTTTGGTGCAAAAAGGTGCTTTTATTATAGCACAGGGAAAGGGCCCATGGGCAGAAGGAGCTGTACTTTTGCTCTATGAAGCTGGTAGTTATATACTCAGTCTCAAGGGGGAGGAGACATGCAAGGAGTATCGGATCATAAATGTCTTTTTAGAACTTCTACTCATAAAACTACTTTTGCAGGATTTCTCTGGTGCTTATCATTGGGCTCAATATTAACTATCAGCGAGATGAACAGGCAGTCATGAGACCCTCAGTATCTGATCCTTGTGGGAACTAAGCAGGCTATAGGTCAGGCTTCTGGGCTAACTGTGAACACATTTCTGCTTCTATCCCTCATCACAAGCCAAAGTTGAGTCTCTTCATCCATCCTAAGTTGGGTGAGAATTGGGGATTCTTTCGGACAAAGGGTCGCAGTAATGTAATTTGCTCTGTGAGCAGCTTTGTCAGCCTGGGCCTGACACTGGCACCTTCCACTGTGTCTAAGCAGAGGAGCTGTGGAGGAACAGGAGTGGGGAATGGGACTCACTCAGTACAGTTCCTTGATAAGTTTTTAGTCTCTGTGTTTAATTGATGATGACACCTCTCACATGTGTCTTATTAAATTGTCCTTTCCTGAAGTTCCAAAGCACAGATTGTGTTGTTTGTCTAAAAAGTGCTTCCCTCTCTCTGGATATGAGCATGACCTTGATAGCTGCCCACTGCAAACAGTCAAATTCTCACCTGACAAATTCTGATCTTATGACCCTGTTTTCATTCTCACTTGTCTCTTTCTGGATGAAAATTTTGTCGTTATAATCTAGGGATGTAATCATTGCATGATGACCTTCATGCAAAGAAAAAAAATTGCTAATATGAAAAATACCTTCCATCTCTTTCTTTTTAGCATTCTTTCTTAACTTGTTTTTAAATTATAAAAATGTTTTCTGTAGTTGGTGTTTGACTTTCGCCTTGTTATTCATGTAATCAGAGTAGTCATCTATTTCCCCAAAGCCAAATTCTGCATTTGTGTAACTTGTTTTGTAAATGCCACTCATGTAAGTACTAAATGCTTGATGAAAATGATGATCATGATGATGCTTCAAAACAGAAATTATCTTCTGTAATATGGTTCTGTTTTCTTAATAATTAAAAAGTGGTTTTTAAATACACATTTTTATCCAAGCTGAACCACCTTTAAAATATTTTGCAAATATAGAATCATGTTGTATACCTGAAATTAAAATAATGTCATGTGCTAATTATATTTCAATAAAAACATACTTAATCATTCAAATGTTTAGAACTTTAAAACAAGCATTATATTTTTGGAATTTATCCTAAGAAAATTATCAGAACAGAGGACAGATTTCTCTGTACAAAAATGTCCACTGAAGTCTTATTTATAATAACAAAAATGTACATATCCTAAATCTCAAACAATAGGAAAGCGGATAAATAAGATCAGTATATGCACATAATGGAAAATAATAGAGCTGTTAAAATTCATGCCGAAAGTATAATTTTAAAACAGTAGAGGGGTGCCTCGGTGGCTCAGTTGGTTAAGCACCCAATCTTGATCTCAGCTCAGGTCTTGATCTCACGGTCGTGAGTTCAAACCCCATGTTGGGCTCCACGCTGTGTGCAGAGGCTACTTACCAAAAAAAAAAAAAAAAAAAAAACAACAACAACAGTAGGATATAGGGACACCTGGCTGGGTCAGTTGGTTGAACATGTGACTCCTGATCTTGGGGTCGTGGGTTTAAACCCCACGTGTGGCGTAGAGTTTACTTAAAAAAATTTTTTTTAAATAAACAAAAAAAAATTTTTAATACTGGAATATAAAACTATAATCAAACAATTCTATTTTTAAAAATTATAAACACACAGAGAAGATAAATTGAAAAAATAAATACCAAATGATGGTATATGGGTTTCTTTTAAATGATGGAATTGTAAGTAGTGTCTTCTTTATATAGACTTTCCCGTTTTCTCCAATGAATAACTTATAATAAGGGGACTAAAACAGACACTTTTAGAAGTACTCTATTATCTCCAGATCAAGTCCAGCATTTTATTTGTATTACTTAGAAATTAAACTTTAAAAATTTTAAAAATGCAGAGGGGCCTGGTTGGCTCAGTCAGTGGAGCAGGCAACTCTTCATCTCCGGGTGGTGGGTTCGAGGCCCACATTGGGTGTAGACATTACTTAAAAGTAAAATCTTAAAAAAAAAAAAAAAAAAGTGCAAAATGTTCCACTCTTTGTGGTCATTCACTATTCGTTAGGTAAGACAAAGCAGCCATTTTGGACTTGCTAGTGTTAGTTTTAAATAAGAAAAGTTGAATCCAGTAGTAGATTTTGAACTACCTACTAACTTCATTTCATGCTCTTCTATTTCTCTAATAGTTAAAGAGTTAGTGAATTGCTTTATCCTATGTATGTTCCTAGGTTCTAATGTAAGATTTAGAAAAGTCCTGCAAGAAAAATAAGAATGCAGGAATTACTTTATTACATTATTAATTACTAAAGCCATACTTTTCTCCCTTTAAATTCATAATCATATTAAGAAACACAAAAAATAACATGTCAAAAGCCATTTGTCTATACATCAGCTATTTCAATATAAACAATATATACAATAAATAAAGAATAAGAGCAAAGTTTTTGTATGGTCCTACCTGAGTCTTGGTACAACCATTGCATTCTGACCACGATCCATAGGAACCCCACTGGCAAGTGACTGGAGTGGAGGCTCTGTCAAATTGTTATAAATCAGGTAGAAAGATAAAGAGGGGAAACACAAAGAATGGTCAAAAATAGTAAAAAAAAAATTCCTTCACAATTTTGTAAGAGGCACCAAAAGCATCCCAAGATATATAAAAATATAGGGGGAAGGGACCAACTTTTTTAGAGATTAACATTTATTAAGCATCTATAATGTACCAGACACTATTTAGACACCTGAGCTGTAGACACAATGAGAGATAGGTCACTGACTATGGATAGAGGAGAGGACAAAGATGCAGAGGAATAAACAAATAACCCTAATACGATCATACAATATATCTAATCTGATCAGTTTCAGAACAGAAATGTGTCTGGTACAATGTGTTGTGAAATATAGATAAGGGAGTGTTCATATTTGGGAGGGTAAGTGAGAACATATAGGAGGAAGGTATTCTGGCCTTTGAAAGGATTCTGAATAATGAATGAAGAGTTATACAGAAACTCTTCACTGGAAGACAAAAAGCTCTAAAAAGACCCTATGAGAAGTGAGAAACTAAAAACTGGCCAAGACTAAAGGGACAGAAATTTATTTTTAGATATTCCCCCGTTCATTTAGCCTACTTCTCAAGAACACATCCAAGTAGGGTCAATTTGAGTTTAAACAACTCCACTCCACTAAAATACGTGAAAAATGGAGAGTCGATTCTCATGTGATGCTTAACTCCAGCTTTGTCAAGAAGATCACACGGCTCAGCCTAGCCCAAAAGCACATTTTACAAGGGGTAAAGGAACTCAGACTCCTGATTTCTGGATTTCGAGCACATTCCTAGCCTTGGAGACATCTGGAGTCAAGGTGATTTGTGCTCACCTTAAGTCTGTGAGGTGACCCCGAAAGTAAGGTGTGTGCTTCACATGATTTTATGGAGCCAAGCTTGCTAATCTGTCGTCTTGACATGGCAACAATGATACAAATTCCTCAGTGTTTGTGACCTTTGAAAAATCGGAACTTGCTATTTTTCTATGTTGCGTCCCAGGGACAGACAGAAGCCTTCCCCAAACACCAAGGGTTAGGAAGGGGAGCTAGCTTGGCCTTCTCTCCTCCGTGCTCCCACAGTAGGGTATGCAGGCCTCTTCCAGAAATCTTAGCACATCTGTATTGAAATTGACTATTTCAAGATCTAAATCACCCAGTGGACTCTCAGCACTGTGTTGGTCTTCTTTGCATCCCCATCACTAGATCAGCTCCTGACACATTCTGATAGCTCGATAAAGTGAACTGACCTGGTCCTATCCCATCCAACCGACAGTGAGAGCAAAACAAGGCCATGGATAAATGAGGCTGGCTTTTTTCCAGGTCTCAAGAGTCAATAAAACTAATTTCTTAAAAAAAAAAAAAAAAAACTCTCAACCAGATGGGAACTACGCTTGCAGTGAGCATAGCATAACGTATAAACTTGTCAAATCACTATGTTGTACACCGTAAACTAATGTAACATTGTGTATCAACTATATTTCAATTAAGGAAGGAAAAAAACCTCTCAACCTTTAAAATCCAAAGAATGTTTTGCAATGACTACATTCAAAAATCAAATTCTGCTCTAAGATAAGTCAATTCTAAGGTTGGTGTAATAATCTGCATTGTAGGGAAAATCACGGTACTAGGACAAGAAGAAAACCTTTAGGTATTTTTAGCCTTCAGGTTTCTTCCTTACAGGAAAAAAATAAAGTAAACTAAGAATAAGAATAAACCAAGCTTTCGCTATCATTGCCTTTTCTCAAAGTGTGGAAAGATAAAGTATTGAAGGGATAAAGATGTTCAGGCTGCAATGTAAAAATCAGGTCATGTATTGAAGATCTTCCTAAAAATAAAAAAACAATTTTTAATGATTTCCAACACAATCCCAAAAAAATTCTCACCTTGAAAAAACTTGGAACTCTCCTGTAAATCCCACCAAGATGAATAAAGTTATTACCTGGGGATGGCAAGGGAGGGAGGAATAAAACATTACTTTAGTTTGCATTTCTTTAATGAGTTGAAAGCGAATACATTTGTACAAGTCAAGATTTGTGAGTTGGGAATATAAAGAAGGGAAAGAACCATGGACCAGGCTCAACGACTCTGCTTGTCCTTTAAATTTCCATTCTAAATCAAAGTTTAATACAGTTCTGTTGGACTAACCTCCCCTACTATTCATTTCCGTAAAGACAACTAGGGGCTGGGGAATGTCGTGGCCAAACAAATAGAAAACTTAACTCATTAGAGCATTTCTTTAGGGATCTTTTAATTCCTTTCCTCACTCTCCTTCGCTCTAACTTCAACACTCATAAGGACACCCGGAGAGGAGGAAGCCTTGAAGAAAGACCAGCCAAGAATAAGTAGTTAGACGGGAAATAAGCTTCATGAATGAAGAGTTAACCAAAGTTGAAGCACATCTCTAGCCAGAGGGGCAGTGATGCTCACCATGACCCTTAGTTCTGTGGCTGGCTCAGGTGTAAACACCTCCGAGGCCTTTTGTAATCTTCTTTATGTGATAGCACCAGCCTAAATATTGATGACCCGGCAGGTCACAAAACTATATGTAAAGTAGGGTTACATTTTGCTTGAAAAATCAAACATGTATTAAAAACAAATCTAGAAAGAAATATAGTAGAGAGTAATCATTTATGGGGCACCTGGATGACTCAGTTGTTAAGCATCTGCCTTCGGCTCAGGTCATGATCCCGGGGTCCTGGGATCGAGCCCCACATCGGGCTCCCTGCTCCGCGGGAAGCCTGCTTCTCCCTCTCCCACTCCCCCTGCTTGTGTTCCCTCTCTCGCTATAACTCTGTCAAATAAATAAATAAAATCTTTAAAAAAAAAAAGAGTAATCATTTATTTCTGTTACAAAATTATAGGTGATTTCTATTATCTTATTTTTACTTTTATGTATTTCCCTACTCTGACTACTGAAGGTGTCTGTGAATGTAATTCAAATCTTTACTAGAGACTCTCTGAGAATATCAAATGTATCCAATTCATAACCCAGTGTAAAAGTCCTTTAAAGGGTTTTCTTCTTTTTAATTAAAAACTACAAGGGTTTCTTTTTTTTTTTTTTCCTTTTTCAATAATGTCTTTACTCTGTGCTATGTCAACTCATTTTTCCACCCTCTGGGAAAGCCTGTCTTACAGCTTTTTTAGGCACTCCCAGGCACTAACAAATAGCCACATTTTCAGAAAACAAAAATTCTGAAACAATCTAAATAGTCAAATTTCAATTCGGCATCCGATTCTAAATCTCTCTCCCACTCCCTTGCCCCAGATGCTCCTAACACTGGTGGGGTGGTGTTTGCTTCAGAATTCCTTCTCCTCATTCTTCTGCTTTTCTTCCCCACCTCTCCAAGCTGCCTGTCTTCTTCAAAGTCACAGCAGCAGGAAGGAGAGAGCAAGAGCCAAAAAGGGGGTCCACACTGGGTCCCTGGGAGATCTGCACACACCCTGATCCTGTCAAACTCTGGATATCCAGGATGTAACCAATACTGCCGTGTTGATTTACTCTGTCTGTTAGCCTGTGCCTTTAGATTTTCCCAGACATGACTAAAGTATCATTCCCTGATGTGGAAATGTTGGGGTTCAGAGCAAAAGGTCAAGAAAGAACTCTTGAGATGTCTTCAGTGCAAAAAGGTGGTTTTATTAAAGCATGGGGGCAGGACCCGTGGGCAGAAGGAGCTGCACTGGGATTGTGACAGGTGACCGATTATATACTTTCACGTTGGGAGAGGGTTACATTGCCCGGGACCAACACGTGTGCTTGGTAAACTTTCAGTTGCATTCCATCCATCTGCCTCTTCCACTCTCACATTCCTGACCCTTTCTTTCATCCAGGATTCCAAATTCTAAAATTCCAAGTCTCCCAACTCGCTTCTATAAAGCTTGTAGATAAGTCAAATCATGGGGTTTCATGGCGTGGCCCCAAATTAAACAAATAAACAAACAAAATACACTGGAGAGAATTTTTCCCTAAGAAATAACGATGGTACTATTGTATTTCTTAATGGCTTTCTCAGGACTTTCATAAACATTGTCTCCAATCTCTGATTCCCAGACCTCCGAACCAGTAATTTTACTGCAAAACAAGAAAAAGGAATTCACTTTGGCTGAAATGTTAAATATATTTAAATAAGGATTTTTTTTAAGTTACCCCCAGATCTTTCTCTTTCCTATTTTCCCATGTCTTCTCCTTATTTGAGTCATTTTGGTTAAGCCTCACTCCCTTTTGAGATTGCTTCGTTTACAAAAGTAATGAAATTATTATCTTACCTTCATGTTTGGGGAAACATTCAGGGCAGAAGAAAGGAAGAAAATTTCCACTGAGTGCCCGGTGAACTTTCAACAGCAGGAAGAGCCCAGCAGCCTGCTCCGTCCCTCTCTCTCCCTGCTGGGGATTAACTTGGCACTCATAAATAAAGCAAGTGGTTCTGAGACTTAGCTCCTACCCCAACCAGATACTCTGAGGACACGAAGAGCCTGACCCTCTATTTAGTCCATGTCTTGGAGCCAGATGCATCTTATCAACTGACACAGGCCTTAGCTATAGCCAGCTGGGACTGTTTGGAAGTATAGTTCTAAGAAAACATCTGCAAATCAAGAAAGGCAGCCAATGTTCTCAGTTCGATGTTTAAGCGATTTTCAACCAAAGGAGACTCTGTGTAAGGCAAGGGATAAGCCTCCTTTCTATTTCAATCTTCTAAACTAAGCGGATGTTTTCATGATTCTCTTAAAGGGTGTTGTACACTAGACTTTGAGATTAAACACTGTGAGAGAAAAAAAAAGATCTAAATGCAGTTCTGTCACTCAGAATATAAATGGAACATTCTGGGGTGGAATTTCCACCCCTCCCCCCACTTGCTGCTAGGGCACTAATAAGAGAGACGTAAGTGTTAAGTGGGAAAGGATTTTTGAGTTGAGAGTAATTTTATAACTAAACATTCCATTAGTGAATATTTTCTAGTTTTAATGATTTATTTCTTTCTTTATCCAAAGAACTTGAATAATAGAGACCAACCCCTACCCTCCCCTCATAAATTAATGGGCTTCCAGAGACAAATCTTCCATATCTTTTGTTAAAACCATTAGTGATTTGTGTGGAAGAAATTTTGCCACAGAGAAGATGACCCCTAATTCCTGAAAGATTTTTGTTGTTGTTGTTCAACTCCAATTGCATGATTTCCAAATGTTATGGACTCTTCTAAAGTACTCATTGTGCAGGGGCGCCTGGCTGGCTCAGTCAGGGGAGTGTGTGACTCTTGAATTTAGGTTGTGAGGTCAAGCCCAATGTGGAGATTACTGAAAAATGAAATCTTTAAAAAAAAAAAGTACTCAATGTACAATTCCACATTCAAGGGCTTCATTTGCGTTCCCCTGAGGGCAGATTCTCAGACAGGAAATCAATTGCAAGTAGACTTTTTGGGGGTGTTGGGGGGTTTTGGTTTGGGTTTTGGTTGGGTTTCATTTGTTTTTGTTTTGTTTTCTGTTTTGAGAAGTGCTCCTACAAAGCACTGCTGAGGGGTGGGAAAGTGAGACAAGAAAGGAGAGGTAGTCAGTAAAAGGTACTTTACCTTGCAAGATACCACTGTGGCAATTAAAACTCAGTCCCAATGTGGAAATCCAGGGGACATTGCAGAAGTATTTCTCAGAGTTATTCCAACTAAACGACTATATCAACCAACACCCCATCATTGATTGAGGGTGGCTCCTAGACTCAACTCTCCAACAATTCCAGTTTGCCTTGGCAGTAGGCTGAGCAGCACTGGTAGCTAGGAGGGAAAAGGGCCTTCGAGTAGACTGTTGCAGGTATCAGCAGTATTTGCAGATATTTGCCTTTGTCATGTAGCTATGAGTGTTGAGGGGATATAAGTAGATACCAACAGCACTGCTGTGGTAGCTTGTCATTCGTACATGAAAGCATTCATTAATTTGTTTATTCTAATTCAACAAATGTTTACTGAGGACGCATAATATAATAAGCTAAAGATTTTGACAGATAGAAGCCTTGAGCAATATCTCATTATTTTTATTCCTTACATGCTATAAAGATCATATGAGCCCATGTATAGAGTATCCTTAGTCTAGAGGATGTCACATGCATATTGTGTATCTACAATAATTTAGAACTTGAATTGTTCAGTTCACAGAGTCTGTATCCCAAAGATCAATTAAAAAGTTTACAAAACCTTCCTTTCTCCAAGTGTTTTGCACTCTCCCATCTCCATATCTTTGCTCTCACATGAACAGTGTTTCTTCAACAGGAGGAATTTCAATGGAGGAGTCATTAGAACAAAGGCTTTAAGTGCAGGTGGGAGCCTTACTGTGGGAAATGTGACTACTGGTGTAAGTTGTATGGACTTTATTCAAAGGACAATGGGAACTCACTCAATGGAAGTTTTAAAGAAAGAATCAAAGAGATGTTTTCAAATGATCAAAACAGTGGTAGTACACAGACCACATAGGTAAGGAGCGGAAGCAGGACACATGATTTGGAACTTATCTGGGTAGTCAGACAAAGGGTAATCAAGGCCTCATTCAAGAAGAGCTAGACAAAAGACCAGGAAATTCACAAGGCTTAGTGATTAAACACGGTTCCATGTCTGATTAAGAAAATTGGAAAAATTTAACAAATTAATAAAGGAGAGAACAGGAAGTTGAAGAGGAAGAGGTGATTTTGGAGAGGGGACATTTTATTTTGGAGAAAACAACCAACACATAACCAGAAATGTAGATCTTTTTGGAAAGGAATATAAGAAATGACTTGGATAGGGGCATAGTAGAGTCATTGGCAGGAGGACCATAGAGAAGTGAAGTCATGGGACAATGATCACAATGAAGTATAAAACCATAAGACGTGCCACTTCTCAGGGAGCAGAAGGACGGGGAAGAGCCAAAAAGGAAAGAGAGAGGTTACAGAAGGAGAAGTAAAACGAAAACAATGCACTGTCAAACCAGTTCAGGAGAATCACAAAGAGAGGTCAGTCAACAATGACAAGGGGAGATCAAAGAGAAGGAGTATTGAGGGAAAACCACACTACACTGCAATTGAAACATAATTAAAACACTGTGGATAAACTGAGGGCAGAGTTTCCCCACATATTTTCTACTCAGGTGCTACAAGATACCTCAAGAAAAATAATTAATTTTCTGTTTAAATAAGAAGAAGAAGCTGCATATATTATAGAGAAGGGTTTCTCAACCTTTGAATTACTGGCCTTTAGGGTGTGATCATTCTTTGTTGGTAGAGGGGGTTGGGGGAGCTTGTCCTGTGCATTGGAGGACACTCAGCAGTAACCTTGGTATCTACCCACTTGATGCCAGTAACACTCTTCCTTAGTCATGGCAGTCAAAATTGTCTCCAAATATTGCCAAATGCCCCCAGGAGGCAAAGTCAGCCCTCCTCCATTGAGAACCACTGTTACGGTGTCTACCTCTAGCAAATGCTCAGCCTTAGATTCACAAAGCACACTGCACAGTGCATTGTAAATTAAATGTTCTAAAAGTTGTACACCAAGTAAAATTTCTTAAAACTTTTTTCAAACCAGAATTTTCCAAATTCATGTGACCCCAGAACTTGTATTTCTGACAAGCTTCAAAACTGGTATAGCAGACATGCTTTAGCAAATGGTATCGGAGCCAATACTGAATCCATGGAAGAGGAAAGTAGATTTCTGCCAGACTGGGGAAGGGTCCACAAGGGCTCAGTCCTCTCCCTATCTCCTGCTATGACACACTCCCTATTCCCCATCAGTCTTCACTTCCCTTGGTAGCACCTCAAAAACTTTAACATCCCCAGAACCTAATAATGAAACAGACCACTGATGATATCAAGAAGCTGTTATGGTCCACCTTGGGGAAATATTTGAAAACATTTTAACAAGCCTATTTCATTTGCTAGCCTTTCATCTTATCCTAAATTGTTCCACTGACTCTAGGCGCATAAGAGGAATAAACTTGCTGAGGAAAAATAAAGCCTCCTTTCCTTTCTTCTATTAAGTCTGATAAGGTCAGAACGGAAACCGCCAGCAATTGGAGCAAAAAGCAACACTACCCCCTAGTGGCAGGCATGCTGCAGTGCCTTGAGTAATAGAACAGCATTAGGCTGTGGAGTTAAACCACTCCGGAGCGAGAACCGTTGAATCTTCTTAATCTCCCAGTCAAGTGCTTGTTAAGCTAGTAAGTACTCCAGGTGGTATCTCTTTTTCCATTAAAGTGCCATGGTGTGAATAGTTTGAGAATGAAAAATGGCAGGCAATACCTTATCTAAAGGAATTTTTCAGCAAAACAATGACTGTTAAATGGCTTTATCATATATCTAATAAGCTGCCCATCTCTGCTGGGAGCACTGCATTCAATACTGTGATTTGTGCATTATTTAATTAGTTAATTTATTTACTTACTTATTTATTTTAAAGGAGATAAAAGTTTATTGAATACACCACAAGGGAGCGGCGGGCAGGACAGCAAAGGAGAGACTATCGGCCTGCATTAAAGTGAGGTCACCAAAAAAAAAAAAAAAAAAAACATGGGGTCACTAGATTAGTACTCTCTGTTGGTATCCAGTCCCTAAGAATGATGTTTAAGGTTTAAATAGATTAAGAAATATTTCCAGGGCATTACACGTCCTTGTAGACAGTTGTTGTCATTTACAACATGGGACTAGCCTTTGCCTCGGTGGCCCCGATGGCAAGGATGGCAAGGATCCAAATACAATCAGGAAGCAATACGAACTTTGTCGTTAATGCGTTTCAAGGTTTTCAATAGTGGCAGGCACCTGCTAAATTTAGGAGAAGGCCTGGCTTGGTTTGGGTTTCTAACACCTGGGTTTTTCAGTTTTCTGCAATGCACATTGTGGCGGTAGCCTGCATGGCCGAGATCTATTTCATTTGGTTTAAATTTGAATTGAGTCAAAGAGCTCCAAGAAGGAAGACACGAAATGCAAAGATTTTTGTGGTTCCACACCTGCCTTGTGTAAAGACCTGCAGAGGAAGGGTGAATAGCAAAGGACAAGGTCATTTATCTGATCTGCACAGTAACTTGGGGTGTCTATGCAGAAAGCTGGTTTGTTGATGTTGTTGTTGTTGTTGTTGTTGTTTATCCAGATCAAGAGTTCAGCATATTGGGACGCTTGGGTGGCTCAGTCGGTTTAGCATCTGCCTTCGGCTCAGGTCATGATCCCAGGGTCCTGGGATTGAGTCCCGTATCAGGCTCCCTGCTCCGTGGGGAACCTGCTTCTCCCTCTGCCCGCTTCTCCACCTGCTCATGCTCTCTCTCTGTCTGACAAATGAATAAATAAAAACTCTTTAAAAAAAAAGAGTTCCGCATATTATAGCTCTAAAATAAAAAGTAATCATTTTCGGAAAATATCAATCTATGTCATAATTTTAAGTTTTATCTCCTTAAGCTGTCTCTAGAGATATATTTAGATATCAGATTAATCATTACATCTTCCACGGGCCAAGAAAAAATAAAGAATGAGTGATAGAAAGAAATAAAATCCTGAATTACACAACTCTTAAAATGCTTGTGAAAAAGTTTTAGAAAACAGTGAAGAACAGTCACAAATACATAATTAGAGACTTCTTAAAAGTAAGAATTCTCCTGAAAGCAATAAGGCACTAATCTGTGTACAAATATGTGTTCTAAAGGCAGAGAGTCTGGATTCAAACCTTGGGCAAGTTGCTCAGCCTCTCTGATCCTCTTGCTTCCTTCCTTGCCATCTGAAGAGTAGAAATAATATTATCTAATTAATAGGGCTATTCTATTAAATAAATCCAGGTAAAGCAATTATCACCGTGCCTAGACTATAGTAAGCCTCATCCAATAAATGTGAGCTAGAATGCAAAAGATTAGGGGCGCCTGGCTGGCTCAGTCAGTAAAGCATGTGACTCTTGATATCAGGGCGTGAGTTCAAGCCCCACGTAGGGCATAGCACCTACTTTAAAAAAAGAAAAGAAAGAAACAACGCAAACAAGCATCAATAGTGGATTGGTTAAGTAAATAATGGTATACACATTAAATGGAACATTACGCACCTATAAAAAACTGAAGAGGTTCTCTACGTACTGATATGGAAAGATCTATAAAATACACTGTTAAGGAGAAAAAAGAAAAATACAGAGCAGTAGCTACTTTGGGGTTAAAAGGAATATATATTCATATTGGTTTATATTTGCATGAAGAAATGCTGGAAGAATACACAGGAAACTAATAGAAATTGTTATCTCGTGGGGCATACACATGAGAAGGCCACTAGGTAGAAAGATGGAAAGAGGATAGAAAAAGAGATGGGACTAAGGCCCTTTACCTTATCCTAGCTTATATTTTTAATACATTAATGAATGCATTACCTATTCAAAAAAAAAAGAAATCGAAAATTACTTAACTTTATTCTGTCAGCTGCCATTGTTTTATCTCATAGTACTGTAGAATAGCATCCTAAAGATTCTCTGTCTTTCCTTGGCTTGTTTGCTTATTCATTTGTCTGAAGGAGTTGGGGTAGATTGTGAGGATGCACACTGCAATAATAGAAACAAACATCTTAATGAAATGCCTCACGATTACCGGGGCCGAAAGATTGGTCTGGAGGCCAGGTAGATCTGGTGATTCATAGATCTTCACTTGAGTGCACCGTTGATATATTTTCTAAATTTTAGCATACAAATGTATGCTACTTCATTTCATAGTGAGCATATGAATAACAGACACTGGTCATATGTATTTCAGTACACGTGAAGGTGTAGTAAGGCACCCATACGCATCAAGAAATTCGTTTCACGTTCTTCTTGCTCCTTCTTCAGCTTCAGCTAGTGTGGGCCTGCTTCTCAGGAGAACGTTGTTTGCCAGGAAGGACATCGGACAAATCCTGTCTCAAATTTAAGTTTTACCACTTGCTGTCTGTGTTCTCCTCTTAACTCTCAATTTTCCTTCTTGTTTTTTTTTTAAGATTTTATTTTTATGTAATCTCTACACCCCATGTGGGGCTCGGACTCATGACCCTAAGATCAAGAGCCACATGCTCTTCCAATTGAGCCAGCCAGGTGCCCCTTAACCCTCAATTTTTTTCTTTCTTTTTTTTTTTAAAGATTTTATTTATTTGACAGAGTCACAGCGAGAGAGGGAACACAAGCAGGGGGAGTGGGAGAGGGAGAAGCAGACACCCTGCCGAGCAGGGAGAGCCACCCAGATGCCCCAACCTGCAGTTTTCTTAAAAGAAAAATAAAAGGATAACGAAATCTTTGTAGGGCTGATGAAATTCAAATTATGTAAAATGCACACTGAAGCATCTTGAGTACATATAGATCTCTACACCTTCCACACCCATGAATAAGTGAGTTTTTAAAATATATCCAGGGCGCCTGGGTGGCTCAGTTGGTTAAGCGACTGCCTTCAGCTCAGGCCATGATCCTGGAGTCCCGGGATCGAGTCCCACATGGGGCTCCCTGCTCAGCAGGGAGTCTGCTTCTCCCTCTGACCCTCTTCCCTCTTGTGCTCTCTATCTCTCATTCTCTCTCTCTCAAATAAATAAACAAAATCTTTAAAAAAATAAATAAAATAAAATATATAAATAAACAAATGTGAGCCAAAGAAAAATTTTAGCAAACCAGTTTATCCAGAGATGTTCCTCCAATGATACACAATTTGAGTGACTTCCTGAGAACAATCAACTTGCAATTAATCAGAAGGAAACTGATTAATAATTAATTATCAGGGAAATTACCAACTATGTGACATTAGATTCTTATGCGTCTGTGAAGATAGTCACCAGGACCAAGAGCTATTTTACTGATTGAAATTTACATGATCTAAAATGAGAATGTAAAATAAATAATTAATTAAATTTAGTGAGAATGTACAGGCTTATCAAAGTATCAAGATCCTTTTCTTTAGATTAAAATTGTATCAACTAGCATTGTGAGTGATGGTTCATACCAATGAGAAGGCCCAGCTGACAGTTGCATTATTATAACTTTGATTAAGCAAAAAGTGAAATCAATTTATGTTAACAAATGTTTTTATTGTCCAAAAAAAGACTTGAGGGGCGCCTGGGTGGCTCAGCCAGTTAAGCGTCTGCCTTTGGCTCAGGTCATGATCCCAGGGTCCTGGGATCGAGCCCCGCATCGGGCTCCCTGCTCAGCAGGAAGTCTGCTTCTCCCTCTCCCTCTGCCTGCCGCTCCCCCTGCTTGGCTCACGTGCTCACGCTCTCTCTCTGACAAATAAATAAAATCTTTAAAAAAAAAGTTTTCCAAAACCTGCGGCCAGGTGATGTAAAGACAGCACCTCTTTGGGAAAAAGAACATCCAACACTTAATGTGGAGTTAGTAAAGGTTAGTGCTTCTCTCATCAAGACTAAAATGGGGAAACCTCAAAATCGTCCAAAGGATGTCCACAGGAAGTAACCTCTCTCTTCCCACGGGAAACTGAGCAACACCCTTGAAGTGCATAAAACAGACCCATGTATATAGAAATCCTTGTTGATGTTTTATCTGAAGTGTGTCTGAAATTGCCACTTATTTCCCTATCCCTGCAGAACGGACCCTATGTATTTAGCCAGGGTAGGTGGAGGAACATGTATTCTAATGGGATGGGCAAATACATAAATAAATCAATGAAATACAAGGTGATAAGGCATCTCTGAATCATTCCTGAATTTCTCCTCCCTCTCACTGCCTCCCACACCCAATCAGTCATCAGTTCTGAAGAATATACTTCTGACTTATATACCCCTTCATTCATCCATACTGTCAGCATATAGCCACACCCTCCATATCATTTGCTCCCTTATTGACTGGTATATTTATTTATTGGGATATAATTCACACAACATAAAACTCATCCTTCTAAAGTGCATAACTTAGTGGTTTAAAAAATACTCACGTGTATGAGAAACCATCACCACTATCTAATTCCAGAATATTTCCATCATTCCCAAAAGAAATCCCATATCCATTAGCAGTCACTCCCCATTGCCCACAACCTCTAGCTCCTGGAAACCACTAATCTACTTTCTGGCTTTATAGATGTGTCTCTTCTGGACATTTCATATAAATAAAATCACATAATATGTGCATTTTTGTGTCTGACTTCTTACTTAGCATAATGTTTTCAAGGTTTATCTATTTTGTAGCCCATGTATCAGTACTTCATTCCTTTTATGGCTAAATAATATTCTATGGATGTACCAGAATATACAATAGTCTGTGGATATATATCAATAATATTTTGTATATATACCACTTCATTTTTTTTGAGAATATACAGACATACCTCAGAGATATTGTGGGTTCGGTTGCAGGCCGCTGCAATAGAGTAAACATCACAATAAAGTGAATCAAATAAGT